GTTGGTAGTTGGATTGGATCAAATTGGATGATTCGGTGTTGTTGGTTTGGTTGTTGATTCTTCGTTAGATCTGGTCGGGTCGAATGACATGGCGGTGAAACTCGCCCCTGGATGGTGTGGCGTGAGTTACTCGGTCTCCTTCATTCTTCCAAACTCGTTCTGATCATGGTATTTCTTGTTGATTGGTAGTCGAATGGTAGTCGTTGGTTTGGTTTGGTTTGGTTTGGTTAGATTATCTGTTATCTGTTGGAAAACTCGAAGACCTGAAAAAAAAGAAAAAAATTATATAATTATAATTATATAATATAATTAAAAAGTGTTAAGAAACTTTGATTAAAAAAAAACTTAGCCTATCTGTTCAAGACAGATTTGGTTATAAAATGGAAGACTAGTTCCATTATCGTATACCAGTGGTCCGTGGGTGGAGCCAAAACATTCTGTATGGTTAGTGGTATGCCGTTGGTTTCCAGGTACTCTAGTAGTGGCTTACGAGCGAGTTTCAGTTCAGTGCATTGAATGAGGATATGCGACCTTGTGGCAACGTGGCCGCAGCGACATTTAATGGCGTTGAACTGATGGTCTCGTAGTACGTTGTTGGTCCGGAGTCTGGTTGCCACTTTGCAGATGGCTACACATGGATGGTTTGGTTTGGTTTGGTTTGGTATCTTCGGATCAATCTGGTATCTTGCGGTGTCGAGGTTCCGTAACATGTTTGACCATTTCTGGTTGATCCTAGAAGATACTATACTGCAGAACTCCGAATAGGAGTATTCTACAGACTCGATATCCTCCAGACTCAGACTTTCTTTGGCACAACGGTCTGCTTGATCATTGCCAGGAATGGAGACGTGCGATGGAACCCATACTAATTCAATCTTCTGGTTGTTGTTGGTTAGGTAGTCTGTTTGACAAATCGTCTGGCTCAAGTATGTAATATCCAAGGTCTTTAATAGCACGAGTAAGCTCCCTTCGTTCACTCTGCACAACGCTGCCCGTCTTCAGTAGCCCACATAGTGCAGAAAAGCTCTGGTATTGTCAAGTAAAGTGAAATGACTCTCCCAGGTTTCCCTCTGTTTGGTGTACAAGGGCTACCAAAACGATCATCAAAGAAGACCAATAACACAAATATGAATTTATTGTGAACAGTCTACAGCAGAATACAAAGGATCGGAAATACGACTTGTGTAAGAACGTCTTTACATGTACTAGTATATAAACCTATTGGAATGAAATATTGCTCATACAGTAATATCCTGCGGTCCTAACAGTGTCGATTACCTTCAGAATCTTAGATTACTCGCATCACTGCCGTGAGACTGTGATTTCGTAGAATTTGGTCAATTGGTTGGTTGGTTTGTAGGACATTTACCTGTCTTCTTAAAACTGAGTGGATGTTCCACAAAATAGAATTGAGTTAAGTTTCAATTACCTTGCATTGATGCATTTTATATTTCCATTTAACTTTTAATGCCAGGAACATTCCATGAAGTACATGGGAGATAACTGTACATCGATTCCAAGACAAGATCAGACTACAATACTTTACAGCGACTGCTCACAAAATGGGGAACAACTTGTGTTGTAGATTCAGACAACACAAAAAATGAAATACTGCATCTTCGTCCGATCTATCAAATTTTCTCCCAGATAGAACATAACGAAGTTTCACAATTGTTAATACGATGTGCATGCAAATTTTACAAGCTTTGGTGATGGTATTGCACAAATTTTTTATTGATACTGGAAAAAACTTCACCAACATCGGACAATTTGTAACAACCTTTGGCTATTTCAGGTGATTATATTTCAGTGGATTATTCACCCGACAATTCGACACTTAACTGTTGTAAATGGCCAATGTCGTAAATGTTCCTCCAGATTATAAAACCGAGTTTCTCTCTGACATTGATCGGATGGACTGATGTGGAAAAAGCGTATATTCGTTCGGACGGACAAAACACACCCACTAAGCGCCGTTTTCCACAGGCCGTTCACATTTAAGATCCTTTGACAGTTGGGAATCCAAAAGTAGAAGGCTAATGTGCTTTTTATCTTCCAACAAAGATCCGAGGATCGGGTACTGTTAACGTGATTGTTGAAAAACAGTAGCCGATCCATTGGTAGAGACAGCCTCAATCGGTTCAAGACGACAATGGGACCGATCAACGAAATATTTCATCGGGACGATTGAAAAAAAACCATTGCTTGTAGAAATTATAAATAGCAGATGATTTACATGATTTTAATACAACAATATAAACTTCGTTTAATTACAACTGTGTACAATTATTTACCTATTGTATATATAATAAATATAGCAACTAAACATTATTGGATGTTGAGTTGACAAACACCGTCACAGAATGGCATCGGGTGTTGAGAAAGTATATTTGTAAATCGTATATTGGCATTATTTACAACTTGCTATGAAAGCACGAAAACGTTCAGAGAGTAGACAAAATTATCTTGGATTAAATTTATTTTTCAAAAATTGACGAAACGTTCGTTGACAATTTTCACATTAGCTGCTTGCTCATTTTAGGCTCCCTCACATCATAGCGATCATCAGTTGCATATAGTTGAGAATGCAGATGGTGGTTCTCATGCTACTGAGTTGTGAGTTGCGTTCGGAACTCATGGCCACAGTATTGATTTGAAACCATACGCAACTAAGGATCGCTATGGTGTTAGGGCGCCTTTAAACATCATATGTAACACATTTTTAAAAAAGTTTCTGGTGATCAAGTCTTCCATAAAAGTGTTTTTAGTCGAAGCAATCATTCCTAATGGAAAGTCTATCGGATAAATACAATATTTTGGCACTATTATTAAAATAGCCGCGGTTATGTGACGTTTTAGGTGAATGCACTAGATCAGATTGTATCCTAAGGTCTTCTGAAATTATCATTGATACATTTGATACATTCTTGATCAAGAAGCAGCCGCGATAAAAAGAACTTCATGATGTATGCACTAGATCCGATTGCAACTCACTCCTCTGAAAGTATAATATCAAATAACGTTTGATTAGACATTGCGTGTTATTCAATTAATTTCAAATCTTTTGAATAATAAATGAAGTCATTATCTTGCATCAGAAGAAAACGTGTTGATGGATCTTGCAATGGTGTTGCCAGCAATGGGTGACAAATCACAGGATGATTTACTGATTAACTTTATACGGTAGCTCTGATATCTTGTCACTCTCAAATTTTCACAATGTCAAGCTATCACGACCTTCGCCTTGAATACTTTCTTGTATCGCGGAAGCCATAATGTATACAGTCTTTCTGGCGAGCGTTCCGATTGGTTGTATTCACTGGATTACAATTCAATCAAATTGCTGTATAATTAGTAATAGCTTGATATTGTGAATATCATATGAATATGGCACAATAAATATAGCTTTGAAGAGCATTGTTGGAATCAAATAATTTAATTGACTGAACAATTTTTGCCGTCACATTATGTATTTATAAGATATATGGATATAATTGCTTTCACTCAATAACATAACCTAGAACGTAGCAGCAGGATGTGAAACGTTCCGTTAGGTCAGAAATAGTTCATTTTTTTGCATCTGAAATTCCCCAAAATAACAGCATTGAGTTTCTGATAGACATGCCATTATGACAAACCAAGTCACAGAGCGGTAGTATATGTTATTTGTGCATACATGCGTTATCACCACCCATTCACATTCACGTAGGTTCAGAACCGTGTGTAAATGGTAATCATATACGTCATTAATTATCTACATTGCCAATTATATACAATTAATATTACACATTATATACAATTAATATACATCAAGCAGACATCATTATATAATTAAATAAAGGCACTATATATAACCAGAAATATGTGAGAGATTAACAGAGCTGTGAACAGTCTATCATATTGACGGCATATTGTAATGTAGATGGTTATATTAATAAATACCACGTGAACATTCCACCTACAAATACCAGAGATGACGCAGACATAATATATTCTCTATCTTTATATATAATGTAGGTGCTGGTATTCCTTGTGGTATTCTACACTTCATGGAATGTCTAACATTTTATGCCTAGGCAATATTGCAATATGGGGAGTTTAGGTATGTAAGAACAAGTACTTCAAGAAGCTTTGTAACACTGGTTACATTAACAGGTTTGGTACCTTCTCGCCCCAAACTACCATTAATGATTCATGGATACGCGAGATATTTGATAATGAGTTTGTTACTTAATTTTCAATATTTAGCGAACTCTGTAAGGGATATTCTAGTTTTGTCAATTATTTCAATTAGCACATAATTTCAACTCACTGGTTTGTTGTAAAGGGCAAAATTATAAGCACGATAAACTGTTATGTATATCCGGCAAAATTTCGACAGACAACCGCTAATATGATGAAAATATAATGTTTCTATGAAAACGCACTTTACCGTTTTACAAAATGTATCACTGATTCTCAGCTATTTCTGTATAGATTTACCTTGGTAAATACTACAATAATGAGGTCATATTTAGAAGCTGTGATGTACACTATATAAATATAGAAACGGAGTATGTAAGAGCTTTTATCGTGGTAAAACAATTAAATAACTTCAAGCGTCATAAAATTAGTATCTACCTCACAATTATTGTTCTATTGCTATACAGCCGAGCTATCCTTAACACAATGAATAACACTTCCGGAATTACATAATTCAATGATCTCACCGCTATATTTACCCTGGACTAGGTCCAGAATATGCCCACTTACTTATATTTATTTCTTACATGGTGCAAGAAAGGCATTGAAGTTCAAAGCACAAAACAATTTCTACTCGTCATAACAGCACATTTTCGAAATCCCGCTGTTATTTTTTTTTCCAAGAAATTTCTTGTTCCGTTTCGCCGGATATTCCATTATTATGTACTAAGAAAGGGATTGATGAGGCTCTTGTTTATGGCAAATCGCTGTGAATGTTGAGCAAATAAAACCTAACTGATGTAAAAAAGAAAAGCTCTTTAAGAATTATAAAGATTATCACATGACATTGTTTTTCTTCCATTTCGTTTGAATAATCGGCTTAGAAAGGAAAATGCTTTTCTTGGCGAGGACGGCTTTTTGCTTGCTGAATGTGAGGATCTGGAATTGGCTGGAAGGCTGAGTTTGATACGGATTTGACTGAGACAGCCAACCAATAGTTCATCGATATAATGGTTCAATGCTGCTGACGTTTCCAGATATTTACAATCGTACTTCATGGCAATCACTCGAGCTTCTGGAAAAGAAAATAAATATTGACAGATCTTTGTAAAGGAGAATTAAGTCATTACAATGTAACCATAAGAGCTGTCATTGGTATTTCAATCTTCTATCTTTGAACTGACATTCAGTATAATATAGTCAGCTAAATATACTTAAATATCAAGCACATAATGGCCATTTTGATGATATCTATCAAGAAGATGCTGCGTTGACGATTGGACCTTGGCCGAAAGAACACAAGGGGAAAGTGTATATGTTAAACGGACCCGATGTCATGTCGGGGAGTAACAGATCGAAACATATGTCTCTATTCCAGCCTCTGGTAGCTATTTGGTCAGATGTCAGCTTGTGTAGCTTACAACTGTCAAAATATCCATCAGAGGCTGGAATAGAGGCAGATGTTTCGGACTAGGAGTAACATAAAGCATTCCAAAGGGTCTGTGAATGCGTAGAGAGGTTTTTGAAGGGGATATAGATATTGCAATAGGCCCGTGATAACCTTACCCAATGATTCATTCTTAACAACACTATTTTATTAAAATATTCCAGAGGATGCTGAAGCTACCGCCAGATATAAATGTCAAAAATAGTGGGAAGCAGGAACACAACCAGTAATTGATAAATAATAAGAATACCATAAACAAACTCTACCTTTCATTAAGAATTTTTGATGCGGTTAATTAATGACCGTGTCCTTAGTTAAGTCAAGGCTGAAGTCAATTAACGGTAAGAAACACAAAGACAAACAGAGTAAACAAAGCCACTTACCATTAGCAGATACTTTTCTTTGTCGCACTAAATCCGTCTTATTAGCCACAAGCATGATGACTCGATCTGTGCCCAAGGTCACTCGTAAATGACGGACCAGGTTGGCTGCGGCTACAAATGATGGATGGTCAATGATAGAAAATACCACAACAAAAGCATCCGCTTTGATTTCTAAGTACTCGGCAAACTACAAAAGAAAAATTGAATATGAGGATACATGTTCTTTGTCGATAATATTTGGGATTTGTTTCATCCAGATATGCCTTATGGCTTCAAACAAAGACAATCAGTAAGCTTCAAGTCATGTTGTTTGGAAGCTCTACCACCAGAGCTCTTTTCCTTCAACTGTCTTGGTGTTTGCTATTCACAAGTATTTTAACAAATTCATAGAGAAGCAAACCTTTGACTCGAACTTTTAGGGAATATTTTGCATTTCTGTTAAAAGCAACCCACTTAAACTGTGACTTATGGACTGTGACTTATGGACGCGTACTCGAGTTCAAAATTTCTTTTTTGTGTTATCATTTATTCTATTTCTATTCTGTTCTCCATAAACCGTACTTTGAGAAGTATTCTGATAAACTGCGAGTTCAGAATTAGTCTTTGTCTTATTTTTTAGCTGTTTAAAATGATTTGTAATGATTGTACAAGACGTTATAAGAATGGGAACAATGAGTGTTATTGTTGTAATAATAAATCATAAATCATTAGTTATCAATTAATCTCAACAACTTCCTGGCAAGACTTTACAAACTTTAAATAGGTGACACAGACATATCCAGGCATTTTAATCACCGGCTAGAACCTGAATGTATTGGCATTCTACACAATACCAACTGATAAGACATTTAAACAGTATACAGAAGGAATGTGGAAAATAAACATTTTGCCAAGAATTTTGGCATCGTATCGTCATTCTTAAAGTTCAATATACCCAGTAATTCAAAGCACTTGAACTTTGTTATTGGCATTAATTACTTTTAATTCTCATTAAAGTATTTTCATTTGATTACTTCGTTCATATGAATTTCAATAACTCGTAACATGGTTTTCACGAAGGTAATTTACCTTCAACATGGCGATGACGTCATAGTCTTACGTGTTTTAAGTAAACGAGTTTAACGGAATAACAGACGATAAACTATTTAAAGAATCAAAATAATACGGTAATATTTCTCACAGGTAAAGTTTATTTATTTTGCATCATTCATCTTCAACGTCAAGTATGACTAACGTTGCAGCGATATTTTTAGTAATATTAGCATACAAATTATAAAGATGTACTATATATAGAATTTCACATTATGTGATCTTCAGACGACTGACTTATTTTCAGCCTGCGTCCGTACTGAAGTGGGACAAGTAGAATTTATTCTCATGTCTACATTTCGAGACAAGTTCGGACCGCTTATTTATGGGCATTAATGATTCCTGTAATTTAGAAAATGTATTTTGGTTTTGCCGGAACATGTAGTTGAGTGAAGAAACCAGGAGGGCAACTGTTGAAACGAGTAGATAGTGGCGTGAAGATGGAAAGCAGTAACCTACCTTCGGATCGTCTATAAATTCCATCATGGACTCTTCACCATCTAATAATACTGAAATTGATGTTTCATTATCTTCGCCATCAGCTGAAATGATAAAAGAGATAATAAATAATACATATTTAGTGATTGCACGGTCATAAAAATGGCACAGGTTGAAAATGGAATGGAGGATTGTCTATTGTTTACAGGATCATGCTGGGTACGAGTACGAGTATCAAGATCATCTCAAAACAAGAATTACAGCCAATATCAGTTATGCGAGCGTTTATGATACAAATGTTGCTGAAAACGACGGATGGTACTGTTACCCGAGGCTGAGTCATAATTGGATTACATGCAACATAAAGGTTAACACTCGTTTTGCATATTGATGGAAAGGCAATCGTACACTTAAGGTCCTTCATATTGTTAATTTCTAGAGTATAACATCACGAGTGTTGTTATGATTGATTTCAATGTCATTAACAGTGGTCGTGATTTTATCCCAGTAGACAGGATTATATTTCCCTTCCCTTCCTAAACGTTGATAGTATAACCTGTGATAAATGAGTAGAAGGACAGAAGTTCCTGCTGATCAATATCCAGGCATTGTCCAGATATACCTACTTCAGCAAAAACACAATGGTAAAGTTTTATTACAACACATAAATGGACTAAAATCACGCAAAGACCTTGTTAAGACCTAGTCTTTATAATTCGCTCAATATATCAATGTAATAGAATATTGTTCATGTATATTCATTATTTCGAATAATGTGTCGAGTCAGGAAATGACAGTCAAGGTACAATGTATTAAGGCCACCCCCTCACTGAGTTATTATGGGTTCATATCTATTTATATATCATGTGTAGATAACATAACCTCATGTGGTATACCATTAACTTCAAAATAATTTACTATTCATTTGATCACACATCATGTTCTTGTCATGCGGTTGTCAATGAGATGATGATGACAGTTATAAGTGCTGGAGATGTTTGATGTTTGTCGCAGAGCCACAGCAGAGGGATTGAACAACCAACTATTTCCGTGTGTTTTTATCCTGAATGCTTGCCGAAATGATCATCTTTAGCACTTATTCCACATTGTGCTCAGGCATTCCAGCATAGAAATTGCAAATCTGAAAGAACTCTGAGAACAATCCGTATCTCTTATGTACATGAATGTTGCCGAACTGCTCATAAAGATACCTTTCGGAAAGTGCCGAGAGCAGAATAGATAGATCACTTCAATTTAGTTTGGTGCTAATACAAAGATGGAAAAGTAATTAATCAACCTGATATAAATAAAAGCATCAATTAAAAGGTCCTAATACACATGCTTGTAGTTGAAAGTTCAATAACTGAGTGTAAGGATGTCAACTAGTAAACACAAGTCTACTAGATTGATAACGACAGATTGTGTCGAGTGGTAATTATATAATCAATACGTAGAAATAAAATTAATTATTAAGATTTCATTACTAATAAAATATGCTCATGAATTTTATATAAATAGATAAATAGGCCAAGATGTTGTAAATTACGAGTTTATAATTGATCTGGATCTATGAGAGCTAAGATCGATTAAATCTTTGAAGGAAAGCTAAGATCGATTAAATCATTGGAGGAAAGCTAAGATCGATTAAATCTTTGAAGGAAAGCTAAGATCGATTAAATCTTTGGAGTAAAGCTAGGATCGATTAAATCTTTGGAGGAAAGCTAAGATCGATTAAATCTTTGAAGGAAAGCTAAGATCGACTAAAGTTTTGGAGGAGAGTTTATATGGACCTTACAAATGATGTATCTGGGAGCATCTGAAATTTAGGCGACTACTAGAAATGTGAGCATCTAGGAACAATCTTGATCTATCGCTAGATTTACTCCACTTGAAAGCTCCAAAGACCAAGTAACCATTACATAGAGGTGAATTGATTAACTTCGAGCGCATTTGAAATGCTATTTTTTCCCAAAGTTTCCATTAGTGTTCCAGTAGCCTGACAATTGCAGTGTTGGAAATAATCTTCAAGAAATCCTTAGGTGGTGATAATACACGGCATTATATAACTTATAAGCCGACTGTAATCCTGGCGGTACAATCCTTCAACTTCAACTAACAATAACCTGTGTAGCTAAGATGTCTGGCTACGAATTCAAAGGGAATTAAAAAAATGTGTTCTTCTGTTATTTGAAATAGAATTGAATGACATGATTTGAAGGCAATATGGTAATGGGAAATTGTTCAAAGACCCACAAGATCCATTGTATAAAATCTGGTATTTCTAATCTGAAAATAGCATCAACGTTCCCACTTTTTGGGGTGGATTTTCATCATCTAATGACCACGATCTTTACCTTTTTCAATGGACTCAATCCCACCACAGTTTTTCTTATACAGTATTTCTTTCCATTGTCCGATTTGAATGGACGATACGTAGTTGACAATTACACGAGACAAGAGCCTGGAGAAGTGAGACTGACTAGTAATTCCCACAAGACGCTGCGAGTTATATAAAGGATTAAATTTCTCAGATGTTTTCCGGAGATCCTTTATATATTGGTCGATGACGTCAGTCAATATGGTGTAATATAACAGCAGTTGACAGACCTCTTGTAGCCAATAGTTCGTTGACCATTGAAGGCGTCAATTAACTTCTTATTTCATGCTATGTATATTAAAGATTTGTCTAAGAGCTACTTTTTTCATTTTGACATACTTCCATTATAATGATTGATATACTTACTCATATAAAACGTATTTTGCAGTTCCGATCGTCAGCACTTGGATGTTTATTGGTTTCAAGGCCAACCAACCAACAATACAGTATTTATGACGTCATCAATTATCAGATGTTTTCTGGGGATCCTTGATATATATTGGGCGATTCCGTCACTGAAGCCGTGGCAATATTACAGCGGTCACCAACCCGATTGTAGTTCGTTGACCATTGAACACGTCAATTGAAGGTATCAAATAACTTCCTTTCTAGATATATGAAACTATCTTATATAGTTTTTATTTAGTAATATAAACATAGTAATATAATATCTGAAAGACTACTTCGTTGCAAGATCTGTAGATCCAAAATCCAATACCATATTTTTGAAACTTTTGCACAAAGAAAACAAACCCGCCACATTAAATAAATGCCTTCATATTGAATACTGAAAATTTGACTGCTAAATTATGCTTGCTAATTGGTCCACTTGACGGTTAATGAAGTTTTGGAAATAAAGAATGGAAAGAACAGAGATTGATGAAGTGCCTCCTTCAGTAGTTACAGTGTTGACAAATTCATCTTGAACCGCCTACATCGATGGCATTTATTCGATGGTTTTATAAAGGGGCTTCTAATGGAAATATTGTCAGAAACATAAAAGCTTATAGTTTTAAGAATTCTAAAGTACTAGATATCAAATACTAATGTCAATTTAACATTAGTGACTGACCAGAAGATATTCTTGAAAATAACATTTGAAATACAATGAGCGCTATCGCTAAGTTATAATTTAAATCATAATTTAATGTACCGCTTTCTGTCGGAACTGCTTTCCCAACAATCGGTCGAGATTAAATAATTCTTTACTAAACCCTTCCAGGTCAGATGATTTCTGATACCACCAGAAGCCCTTTCGATAGTCAGCCTTGTGTCGCCAACAACCATCTTTCCACCAAGTTTTACGTTTTCTGATTACGGAGGCAGAACGTTAATTCTGTATAATTTCAGATGATAAATGATTGTGTATTAGAAGCACGACACAGAAATCGTATTAAGATTCCTGGCACTAGATAACAATAAGTAGGTTCCTTCTGAAGTGTTGGGAAATAACAAGTTTGTGTACGTGGTCAAGAATGAAATCCAATATACAGACAATAGAAAGTTCTTGTTAAGATCACCCACTCGATATTCCTGCTAGGTTTTATCTAAATCTCATTGTGTGCGGTTTAACATGTAAGATTGTATTTATATTATTTATCTTAACAAGAGTTACCAATCAAGACTAGACCTGAGGCTTCTGCTAAGTAAATACAACAATATCAGTCTTTTGAAGCATTCTTTCAATTAAGTGTGGTATTTCGTAACAACGACATTTGTAACATTGTCTTTTATGATGGATATTACGAAATGTGGACATGCATACAGAGGTATTTCTGAACTCGCAAATGATAGGAATTTTAAACCCAATTGCAGTAATACGGTTCGGGGACTTATTCTTGCTGTCAAAATATGTTGATATTTACTTTTAACTTCCTGTTGAATTTACAATCTAAAGTATGTCATATCTATTGCTTTATGATCATTTTGATAAACGGGTTACTTAAAACAGGCATATAGCACAAGAGTGGATGAAATGGGAGTTTCAAGAATGTTCAATAAGGATCACATGTTGTTTCCAAGAACCTTGCATTATGCCAATCACTATCTATATACGTAAATACCAAGTATATTATTGTTATGAATGGTTTAAATGTCAGGATATATACTGCATTAGAGATTGTTCATGTGTATTTCATCATTTCTTCTTCTGAAATGAGTCTGTGGAACACCAAGTTCTGAATTTTACGTGTTCTCGCTCCAAAACTATTCGATGCCTTTTTTTATTAGTGAGGATGTGAGAAGAAGATGATTCCAAAATATTGATATCACCGAATATTTCTCTAAAACTAGTACAGTTTCATTCCGTCGTCTGAAATAAAGTAACCGATGATATTAGAAGGGAGCATTTTCGCGCCATATGTAACTTTCAGTTGTTCGGTAAGGATTTTATAGCAACCCTAAGTAGTATGCAGGTCGTAATTATGTACTAAATATAGATGTAAATGTCACTAAGTATATATTGTATATATTGTTCTAAAGATTAACTATAAGAGAAGAATTAAGGTCATATTTCTGATAGAAACTAATTAATCAGTACAGATAAACTAACGCTAGTTAATAACCAGTATTTAATGAATACTAGTATATAATAAAGATCTAATATCTGTGACAATAAACCGAGACTCTGTCTGCTATGTGGAGTGGTCTTATGCCGCTGTCTCAGACCCGTAAATTTGATTGTATGGAGGCGCAAATAATCAGTTGTCAGAATATTCCCCCCTGTAGCTTCAGGGTAATTGGCAAAATTTCCCTCGTTGTTCACTGAACAGCCCAATCAGTAGCCCAATCATGTACAGAAAAGTAGGACGTAAATTTGTTTATGACCAAAGTCAGAGGTTATACTTGGTAGTACGCCAATTAGTAAACGTAAGTCATCTCAGAAACAACATTCAGGAATAATATTGAGCAATTCAATTGTTTAGATAAGTCTGCAGGTTGAGTCATTTATTAACAGCTCCAGTTTATATCGTCTAGTTATAAAAACGTCTCGGGAAACTAAAAATAAACCAAATGGTAAACTTTAAAGTGGTTTCAAATTTCTGTAAAATAACACACCTCGCAGCATCTTATCATTCTTATCATTTGATGTAGAATGGCTTCTGAATATTTTAATGATATCACAACTCTTCAACAGAACCTAGATGATAATTACCCTTAAATAAATCACCAAAATGTCATATATCATCTTAACTATTAATATCTTGACTGCAATAGCCACCTTTCGTGGATGTAGCGATTTGATTGGATTGTTCACCAGCGAATACAGCCAATTACTGGAGCCTTCGACAGAAAGACTGCAAACACTATAATGGCTGTATTCGCTGGCGTACAATTCTTCCAAATCGCCACATTTACTAACTTAAGTGATACAAGAATGGTGGCTATTCCAGTCAAGGTTTAGAAGGAAGTAAGTAATAGCTTGACATTGTGAATGTTCGTATTGCAGTCAATGTATAAGACGATGTTCGTATATAGGACAACAAATTTTCATATACAAAGGTTGTATAATGGAATGTCAAATCCAACCATTTTAAGGAAAGGGAACAAGTTGCAGATAAGTAAACAAACCAGTCGATAATGAGCATAGACCAATCTGTCCATTTTGCACTCCTGAAACGTTTTCGTGAACCGTGATAGGACTGTTTTTAATATTATTCCACAGCACAATATTATCTGCTTTTTGCTTCACGAACCAGTGTTGCCATTTTAGAATAGTGTCTAATCTCACCCCCTGGTACTGATAATTATATTAATATATTAGTAAGGCGTTCGTAATTTGTTTACAACAAGTCGTTTTTGAGCAATTAACGACACAGATGGTCAAACCGCGAATGGCGTATATTGCGAATAACTGAAGAAATATAATTGTTAGTTGCTCTGGATACAAAGTTTTTGCCAAAGAAATAAAATCTATGCGAAGTTTATATAAACAAATTAAACTGGACAATTTGCTGCTAATATTATGCAAAGAAACATGGACTGAAATAAGGTTTTTGCGTTGACTATCTTGAAACCTCACAGTGAAGCTTGTACCCTTAACTTAATATGAATAAGGACAGAATGATAAGAGATGCACAGTTACGAAGAAAACACCAACTTGTACAACTTGTACCTAATACAAAAGGGGAAATTTGATTCAGTAGAATCTAGAATTGGTCGACACCTCATAGTATTCTGTCCAGTTGGGATTTATTTTGTCTAAAAAAAGGCTGTTCTACAAACAAAGTAGATTCCTAGAGATAAGGGTGATGGACAAGATCCTGTTCAACAGAAGTCACTGGCACAAGAATTTTAATTGAAATTATTTATCTTTATAGATTTACAAACACAACGAACCAAAACAGCTTGAGGAAAGGTACTCAATCACCATAACCTCGCTAGAATCAAGACTTGTTTACCGGAAATGGAATATGAATGTTATCGGCCACCACCTTATGCTTTTGAGATACGAATATGTACGTTGGGTCATGGAAGTTCGATATTTTGTTTATATATAATACTTTGGACATTTCCTGTGAGTCCAATCTATTCGAAATGACTGGCATTTGGGTAGAGGTTCACATTTGAGTGGAGGTTAACATTTAAGTGAAATACGTCCTCGTTCATCTAAAGCCTTATTCAACAGAAGAGTGGAAATTGTTGCAGCCACTGGTTGATATTCCTATGGGCTGAATGTTGGTCACTTTGCTGTATTGGACCTAATTCTGACCCATGTTAAATAAAGAGTTTATTATTATTAAGACAATTGCTAAATATATCGCCTACACCATTACTTTCTACCATCTTAATCATTCAAGCCTGAACAAAATGCGTTATCCATTATAAGTTTTCTGGTATCTTTTACATGGTGTATTTATCTCTTTATCTGTGTTTATCAGACCAGCATGATGTATGTGGTTGTTTAAACTTTACAGATAAGAAAATGTCGTTAGATTGGAATCGATACAAAAATTAAGATAATGGAATAAATGTATTGGAAAATGTTAATGTATTTAACCACGAAGATTGTAAAGGGTAAACAATGGTTTTATTAGTTTTGTTGGTAAAATTGTCGATATCTTTCAAGATGATTATAATATATAATCATCAGCGCCTATTATGATAAAATAATGTTCAAAACTTCTATAATTATTCACTAAGGCAATTCATCAGAGTCGATAGAGTCCTAAAATACGATGATCTATCGATATGTTAGTGATGTCACTTAGTGGCCGTCAACTGGGTACGGTTAGAACTGTCAAAGTCGTTGTCGCTTTACAGGTTGCACTGTGAGTCCTCGTCGATCAGAAACCAGGAAAGGTGGTTACTTTGTCACATAAGATGATATTGAGAATATTGAAATACTATTTTAGTTTCTGTAAGAATTCTTTAGGCAATGCCTATTGCAATTGTTTACATCTAAAAAATGTACTTTTTGCTACCCAGCTCTGGGCTAGATTGGGGTTTGTGTAGAATATATAGAAGAAATGATTTAGTCGATAAAGAAATTGCTAATCACTTTCTTATGATAAGCAAAAGGAAATCTACGTACTTTCATCTCACGCCTACTTGGTATATGAAAAAATCATTATACATAGTCTATTTTGCCATTGAAATAAGTAGTTAAGTCGAGACACAAATAAGCTTTCACACATTTGTACACCGGAGTTCGTTATCTGGTGTACTTAAAATATATAGGTAAAAGACATAAATTCTAACTGAAGGTACAAGTCAGTACTAGATGAAATACTTACGTGTTGCTACTTCATAACCCATATGTTCTGATGTTAAAAGTTGGCTAGTTAAGGTCGTTTTTCCGGAGTCTGCCCCTCCAATAATGGCCACCTTGAAATAACTGATTTGTGAAGAACTGTTTGTGCTATGAGAGTTATTTGACGTTTCACTTGGGCTACGAAATCGCTTTTCCTTGTCACGTCTGGTACTACCGGTTGATTTCAAACTTTGATTACTTTTTTTGAATGAATCGCCGCGATTTACGACACCTTTGGACGTTGTTTTAAATGATCGAACTCGGCATAACTTTGAGTCGTCAGTGTTATCAAATCCTTCCATTCCTGGAACTTGTAGAGTCTGACAATTAGGCATACTATTCGTCCTTGGTCGACCCTTTGCCAATTCCAAATTTTTGGGTTTCGGTCTGTTCCGAAAGCTACATGATCTGGAATGTGGTGCCGAGGCTATTTCCCGGTCAGGGGTGACGATTACACAGGTATTCGCAGGCATAGTTACGTTTATTCCAGATAAACCATAGAAATATAGTCCTATACAACACAAACCACAGAAATGTTTTATAGAGAAGTCAATAACACACAACTTCTTTAGCACGATAAAGAATCAGGAACTAGTTGATAGTACGCGTGCTTGTGCATTTATCGTCTGTTTGCTTACTAATATCACGTGGTTTGATTAATCACTATAGTACTGAGAGCCTGTTAGAAGTTTATACTAGCACTAGTCAGGTATTGTTATTAATCTGTAGCCACCAGGCATCAATGACATTCAAATCTATTGGCTAGCATTCTCTTCACTCCTTCAACCATACAGACAATGGGCTTGTCAGAAAGAATATACCGTCACGTTTTACCAATTGAGAAAAACCCACAGAACCATCCTTTCACATTGTTTACAGGTTTAGTTTCGTTTTTCTTTAGATGTTTACTTGCGATATGTCATTGACGGATGAAGGCAATGTTATTGAGAATGAAAACACAAAAGTTTAATTGAAAAAGTTCCATTACATATTACATCTTGAATTCGATTTCATTGAATAATATAATAGTCTATTTTATTAACATTATTCGAACTTCATACTCACTTAAATGCAGTTAATTTTTACACGGGTTTTTCGTTTATGATCAAATCGTTATAAAGAGGTTGTACTTATATCAGTCTTAAAGGCAGAAAATAGGACAATTACTGGCTGGAAATGTGAGTAGCGTAAACAACTGCGTTAAAATTGAATATTTGAAAATTAGAATGTCTGGGTATTATTTACTGGTAAAAATTGTCGTGATGCCTTGAAGAACTTTTCTTTAGATGGTATCCTTTGCAAGATTACTTCAGAAACTTTGTTGAAAAATTGAAAAATTACACACAATGTAATGTGTCAAACTCTACGATAGAAAAGGAAAAACAAAAAATAAATGTAGTGGTATCTATCTCGCTCTGAAATGAAAACCAATTGAAACTGATGACATATGTCGGAATTGATCGCCGAATAAAACGGAAAATGAAGTTCCATCTTGTAATGACTTATCTCGTCCGTGTATCAATTTCGTAATGACTTGCGTGACAAACTCATGTTGACCTTTACGTTTTGGACAGATCTTCTGTTTTTATTTGAGGTAATAATATGACATCTTGGGGAAAGGCCAAGCGTTAATGTTTTGTGTTAAACAAGACAGTGGTGTATTTATGCAGTAATTCTTGGGCCATGCCCCACTCCCTCGGGCAATAATTGATTTCCAAGTGGCTATAAACTCGCAAATAGTATCAAAATAGAAAATTTAAGTCGCAGTGTAGTATCAAGTGTTCCGAAGGAATAATCATAAAACCCCAACATTAATCATAGTTCTGACGCTGAATAATGAAACTGAAAGAGTCGAAATATTTTATGAAATTAAATTTTTAAATTTTTTCTTGAAAATTGCGGTTGGTATGGTAACGAATTTATTTTAATAGCAATTTCATAAAATTAAAAAGAAACTCATTAAAGGCGTCCGATTCTCATCAGATATTAATTGCAATTTGTCTGACACGTGAGTGCGATATGAGTCGAATACGCCCAAATGTTTGGCACTTAAGCAATACTGACACAGATATGACAGAACCAATTTTAGGTACAAGATTATTGGGGCTTCATCAAATATATATATATTGCTCAATTATGTTTGGCATTACAACTGTTCATTTATAAAAATTATATTTTGGACTGGAGTACATCCAAATTACACTTTCTATCCCGTTGCCGCTTTACGCCTCCTCCCCTCAAGTCTGTGGCCCCCACTCGGACCCTCCACCGAATGATTTAAGGAGAGGCTTCAGCTAAGCTACTCAACAAGACTTTCAAGTCATCTAAATTTTTCAGAGAGGGCTGGCCCATCGTAATCTATTAACCAAACTTCACTGATTCTTCTTTTCATCATTAATCTACGGCTGATATTGTTTATATATTGGACAGACAAAATCGCCTTACGAGCACAAATTTCAAAGCACATAAATCTATGACGTTCGCATGGACTCGGTTACCCTCTATTCTTGCTACGAGAGTAACTACTGTTAATATCATCATATCCTGGTCGAGTTATGTCTTCGTCAATTACTTTAATTAACCTGAATTTCTAACAGGTGTAGGGCGCAGTACAATCAGACTAATTTATATATTTACGTCCGACTTCTATTTTCATGTATTGTTAGACGCAAAGACAAAACTCTATCAATGCTATCAAAACCACACCTTATGGATATAGGTCTTATAATACAAGACTAAAACAGTGCCCCACATACTTGGTCAGATCAGAAAAGATTTGTGAAGTTTGGTGTGGCGTCCAGTGCGGATTTGGTATCTGAATATCAACCCAATTTATCGCATTGACCTGCGTATTTCCTGTAATATAAAGTGATACTGTATTGTTTCTGGGCCAAAAAGAATCGAGTGGAATCGTTAATGGCTGAACCGAACGTCAATGATAACATTTGAAAGGTAATATGACTGTTAATGTTTTGAAAAACTTTGTTTTTTAACAACCAAACCTAGAGGTCTTGTATCTTACTTTGAGTCATATCTTGTGCGAAGTAAAAATGTTTTCATTGAATCAAAATAAGTCTTTTTAAGATCAAAGTAAATTAATCCAAAAGAGTATACTGTTCATCAATCAGAATTAATAGTAGAGCGTATGCCTTTGAACAGTAGTAAATGTGTTTACGATCTTGTTTACGAAATGATTACACCTTGATCTAGTATCTTTCCAGATTTAGAAATGAGTTTTTTTATGGGTCTTCCGATGTTCAATAAACCATTTTAAATATTAAACGTATATCGAATTAAATATTTTGCCCATATATTTGTGAGATGCAAAAGCATGCATAGTACATGCAAAGACGGAAACAATTGTGTGTTTCCACAATATTACATTTGTCTTAGCATTATTCCTAGAAAATTACCTCTGCTGCATGGTGTTGTCCGCACTCATTACCCCAGTACATGTAGTATGTAGTAAACTACGCCATAACTATATTTTATTTCCTAGAGCTCATTAAGATAGATATATACCAGTAAATAAATATATAATGTTCTTTAACAGACGGGGTGACCTGGTTTCTAGCTGAGCAGGTGGTTAATATATGCCGTGATATACTCCAATAAAACTTTCATGAATATCAAACCTGGCAGATATTTAAATACCAAAAGGTCATCAACCTGTACGATCTAGTATATATACAGAATATATCGATTGGTTGACCAATCAATGATATCAGCCCGGGTATTATAAGCATATAGACTTAAAGGGACAGATGTGCCATTTTGGAGGTTGATCTTAGTCTTGAATATATGTAAATAGTTTTCAGAAGTACATGAAATTTACGAAAATCACACAATCTCAAACAGGAATTTTACTCACTTACTTACTTAAATTGACGAGTCGTCATTTTAACATTCAAAAGCAGATAATTCTAGACACACATTGATTTGAAGGCTCAAATATCGACGATGGGCTGTGAACACTGTTACAGATTAGATCAGCTAAAATATGCCAGTTCCTGAGACTAGAGTATGATTGGTAAAAAAATGGCCTACCTGTCCCTTTACTGTAATGATATATCAATCCGCTTACAACCACGTCGTATTGGTGTAAATTTCTGTCATACTTTGAGCCATCTGTACCATGTTGATTTCGTCTATATGCCATTTCGTCGATGACAACTTGAGCATTATTTGCAGTATTTAGGTGCAGCGCATTAAGGGCAGCTATTTATTCAAAGGGGGTCACGAAATAATAATGGTTGTCAAAATTTTGCTGGTCATTGAGGTACCAAGTAGGCAGTAATATTGGCAGACATGACCTTAATGCATGTGAAACGGGTCGTTTTTGAATTTATCATGTATCGAATCTACGCTGCATGTGACATTGTTTAATCGTCCTTTGGTCCAGGAATATTCACACATTTCTCGTAAACTATGGGAATAGGTCGAATACCGAAAAACGTGAATGCACATATTCGATTGTGAATATGTGGGACATGGTTATAAAAGAAGGAGAACGTTTGTAATATTTTTTTAATAATTTATTTTAGCACTAATAAATAATAATAACATAACAAATTTATCACTTGTGAGTCTTCTTATGGCGAGTTAGATTTCCAGATTGACTAAAAGACTTACAACAAATATCACAACTGTATGGTTTCTCGTTGGTGTGGATTCTTTGATGCTTGACGTAAGTGGAGTTATCTGTAAAACCTCTTCCACAGATTTGACAGGTATATGGTCGGACACCAGTATGAATTCTTGTGTGAACATTCAGTGCTGATCTGTGAGTGAACACCTTTGGACAAAAGTCACATTTTAATGACTTAGCTTTCTTGACTGATGTGGTTGCTTTTGGTTTGGTATGTGGTTTTAGTGTTGATGCTTCTTTGATACGTGGTAAAATCGGGATGTGCTGTTTGGTAAAATATTCGGGATCAAATAAACTTAGTCGGGTTTCAGCATTATTGATCATGACGATATCATCTGCTGGACGATAGGTGAAATCACTGGCGTGGAAATCGACATAGGAACAACTGGTCTGTGGTTCAGTGGTACACACATTATCAAAAAAATCATAGGATTCTGTATCCCGGTTATCTTGTGGGAGACTAAGTATACTGGCTATATCATGAGATCTTGGTCTGGTAACCTTATCATCAGCCATTTCTTCCGCCATCAGACTACCTGCTATGGACTTGGAGAATAAGGATGTAGGTGGTAGTAGATCTTCTGGGTAAACAAATTTCGGTGTGGAAGACTTGTAGTAAGCACAGGATGGAGTTAACGGAGACGCTGGTGGAAGCGTCCTGTTGAACTCTTGAGATGGGTTGACTGGTGCTGGTGGTTTGAATGTAAAAGAAGCTGGCGGTTCTGCTGGTGATGGAAGATAATAACCATTATCGTTAACTCTGTAGTTCATCTTGGATAGTACTGATACGGCTTCATGGGTAGCTGGTGATCTGAAAAAGTGACAACATTCATGCACAGATAGACAAACAAAGTGGAACATGATAAACAATGTAAAATCGTTTATTGCAAGCAATTGCAACTGTTCACCTGTATTTCATGCCTATGTTCATTGCAAAAATTCTTACTATTGGTTAAAAATGAAGGATACTTACGGTTGTGGCTGTTCTCTTTCATAAGGTTGGAATCTGTCGTAGTTGAAGGATAAGGAAGTTGGACATTTTGATTTATATCTGTTCTCCATTTTTGGATATGCTGAAAAAAAAAATAGTCAATATGAATCCAATGTGAAATTTTACATACTATAAATAATCGAAGGGTTCTTAATATTGCGCTCTGGGTATTCCTCGTTGATAAAAGACCACAATGAAAGGTATTACTTACCGGTTACTTTTTCAAAAGACATAATGTTCCGTGACTATTCAAATACTAATAACTATAGGAATTCAAATTCAGAATGCCGACATTATTGTTGAAGGAATACTTATAGTCAAGATTATGGATTAACAGAATTAATAATTTTGAAAAAAAAATCCCTTCATTTCATTGGCTGATTAAGGGTGATTAAAATTTGAATGTCAAAATGAACAGTTTGATTGGTAGGTGTCATAATGAGCTCAATTGAGATCAATCAATTACAATCCTGATAAAAAATCATTATTGGCATCCTGATTAATCCTGATAATTAAACAATGGCTTCAGCGGCTCACTTCACCCTTATTATCCTGATTGAATTCAGATTACTAATCAATTCAGGATTTATGATCAAAAAACGGCACAGGACTGAATTTACATTTATCTTTTGAATATATTCAGATTTTTAAAATATGAAATTTTGAAATGGCTTCATGTGTATTTTTTTTTGTAATGGGGGCAGGAGGGAGGTCCTAACACTTCGTATTAATTAAACCCTTAATCAAGCTCCAATCTCTAGAATTCCAGAAGAAACAGACTTCAGCCATTAGACATGTATATTGATGGAACACATGTTATTTCTTAATGAAATCGTGAATTAATGAATGATATGGATGTCTTATGACTGGCTGATTTGATTTTCATTCAGCTTTAGTTCTGTCATCTTGACCCGAAAACCATGAACTTGACCTTGATACAGAATAATGATATACAATCATGACATTCCTACATCAATGAATGATACAATGAAACAATACGTGACTCGATACATTGATTTATACGTCTAGTGATTCAATAATCATTCACAGATACAAGGGACGTAATTTAGAATAGTGGCGGTTTCCATACCACTGTTAATATAATAGTACCAGTCTGTGATGTCCAACAAGACACGACATTACAGGCTCTGTTAATGCATTATCTTTTGCAACCGCTGTCACTTTCGTCAACAATAAATGGGTAATACTGCAAATGAATGTAGGGCATGACGATTTGAAAAAAGATAGTTCAAATATTTGATTGAAATTCAAAAATTTATCTTCAAGCAATTCAACAATTGACCTTCAACCCGTGTTGATTCTATGTACATTTCATAAGGATATAATGAGTTGTCTTTTTGATGGAATCCATACATTAGGAAATTAAACGCCCATACTCAATTCGGAAAACAATAGTTCTTTGGTATCCGCAGATTTTCTATGCTCCGCAAATAACAAAACCTGAAATCGTCCAGTCAGCTATCAGTCAAAAATGTATTTTGTAGTATCATACCTTCACGAGAAATATGAATAAACCACGAAGAATATGCTGGAGTTATCGTTTTTGGATGTTCTTTGAAACATGATTGATGAACACAAACGCTGATGCATTTGAAATAATTTGAAATAGTAAGCTTGGTAAGATTATAATAACATAACATCTTGTTTATAAAGTTTTTCAATCTTATAACAGCCACCACATACCGGATGTGACGGGGCGGGGAGAGCATGCCCCAACTTTGTACAACGCACACAGTACTTCGAACTAATAACGTAAGGACGTTATGCGGGACAAACGCCTAACGTTATCGAGGTCTAAAACTCTTCCATTCCGATCAGCAGCAGACCCCATTTTACATCTAAGAAATAGAGCCTCTGCTTCTGATCTAAGCGATACAGCATGGTCTATAAGTAATATACAACGTATCTTATGACACTCACAGTCCTTTTATAAGAACTACTCGGTGCGCTGGTAGCAATTGCTCTCTTATTGTACACTTTGAATACAATATGTACCATTATGTTTCCACAGCATTATTAGATATTTTGTTCAGGAATTCGTTCTAAAACACCAGTAGATTATCACACGATTGAGCTTTGCGTCCATTGGTGCGTTTAAATAATTTACACAGGAAGTTGAGAGCTCGTTTAGGAGAGGATTGTTTGTTAAGATTGATATCATCTGATGTTCCCAATAAACCGCACGATGGTGGACTTAATTTCATCCTGATTTGTTTTAATGTTCCAACTAATAATTCATCAACATAGTGATTGATAGCACCTGCTGTTTCCAGAAATACACAGTCATACTTCATAGCTATTGTTCTTGCCTCTGCAATTATAAAAAAGACATTATGTATTATTAAATTTTTGTCATTTTCATGTACAGCTGATTAATACAAGCAAAAAAATCGACAAATATGAAAATATGATAAAGCCTTATCATCTAATGTTTTTAATTTAATTTATTGCCGTCGACATTATTCCAAATTATTAATGAAAAGTAACGGTTGAATTTGTGAATCATTAGATTTGATTCTTTCCTGCAAAAATAGACAATAAGCAATATAGCAATAGTTCATAATTCAAAATCTGTATAATGTCACATAGAAATTACAAAACATAACCTAAAAATCAGGCTATGCGATGTCAAATGTATCTATATTCGCGTAAATTATGGCACTCTGTCCATCCACCTGTCTGTTCGTTAACATTTCCATGTAAACGATCTAAAATTTACAGTCATTGAATTAAATAAAATCCAAACCGTATTAATTCAACGTAAGTTCAACAAAGATCAATCAATTATCTCAATTACAAACGACATTTACAAGAAATAAGTCAAGAATGATGAAGAATGGAAAAAAAAAAAATATATTCATGTATTCATTTCGGAAAGCACAATCTCTTAGAATTTACAAGTATGTGGTGTGTAACCTCTTAGAATATTAAACAGCTTAAAACATCTTTGTAATGAAATTACATAACATGTCAATCTATGAGGTCGTGAAAACTAGAATATAGTTCATGTAAGAACCTTGACTCTTGAATATTCCAAGAATATCCGGCATATAGTTATCTTGGAATTCTTTTATATATTGCGAAAGAAAACCCCAAAGCACAACATCTGCATTGTGTTCCGATACTGTCGTTTAATTCTTTAACTCTGAAGAAATCGCTTTGTATTTTTGAACTATTTGTTTATCTTGTAAATTTCTTCAGAAATTAAGTAACTTCTTATCAAATTGACGTGTTGTATTTGTGAAATCCATAGTCTTCACTTTTGACATAGACCAGTACTCCTATAGGAGAATATCTCTTATAACGCCTAATACTCTTTTATTGGCAAGTATTTGTGACAGTTGTCTTGCACCAAGATAAGTACAACACGGCATTTTCGATGTGTTATGCTATCATATGAACTCTGTTGGAATCGTTGTTCTTAATATTCACAATGCCAGTTAGTCTGTCATACTCTATAGATACCAGATAATTACTCCTCTAATACACTACTTCCTCTATATTATAACGACAGTGGAGACATTAAGCAAACTGTAGTGACAAAAACTTAAGCATGTCAGTAGGTGAATTGTGAGGTCATTGTAACATTCTGAAATGAAATATATCAGCAGCAAATGACTTGGCGCCTTCGCGATCTGATGAAATATACATGTCTTAATAAATAATAATATTTAATCGAATGATACCACATTCATTTAATATTAATATGTCGTGTAATAAAAAGACCATTTTGATGTACTTACTGAGCCATGTTTAAATTTAGTCCTGCATCATTAACTAAGAATGTTGCCCTTTGATAAATATCATTCGAAATATCATTCTGTTGTACCATACACGTTATTTGATTTGACAACAAACCAAGGTTGTTCAATTCTTTACTTACGTTACTTTTCGTCCTTCACGATTGAAGAGCGTCTAATTATACTTGCCGTCAGGAACAAGTTTGAATGGTGAATTGTAAAATCAGCCCTATTTAAAAATCACTAATCCATCATCATTACTAAAGAAAAATCCAATGATAACTACCCCAAGTCAGGAAATTTATAAAAATAGAAAATGTGAACCTAGACAACCTTCCACAAAGATAAATATCGTCTAAACAGTAAATTATGTCGGGAATCAATTGATAGAGCTTGATTTCAGCTTTGTGTCTCTTTTCGGAGTCTATTCGATATGTGAAAATCAAAACGCTGTGGAACTTAAGCTTTTTTTTTAAGGTTAATTGTATTAATAGACCTACTTTATTTCAAAGATTTGAAGATTTGAAAAGTTAAATGGTTCACAAAATTCAGCTTATATTTAGAGACAATATAAAAGAAAAGTAATTGATGTTCAGTCAATATTCTAAACACTTTCCAGAATATCACTCGGGATTCGAAGCAAACAGTGAGAAAATTCTACAAAGAATACAAATCGGCTTATTTTAAGCTACCTACCATTAGAATTAACACGCCGTTGTCTGGCTAAGTCAGTCTTATTGGCAACTAGCATGATTGTTCTATCAAGACCCATCGTAACACGAAGATGTCGAATTAAGCTGGTGGCTGTTTCAAAGGAACTTGGTTCAATCAGAGAAAATACCACCATAAAGGCATCATATTGTAAATCATCATAATTATCTATCTGTAATATAAGAAACAGAAATAATGTGGTCATAATTTATAGTAGTGAAATACAAGAGGCAGTAATAATGTTTATAATTTATAGTCCCCTGAAATTATAAACATTTAGCTATAAATTTCAACCGACTTCTCAACACAAAGGGACTATCGGATGAAATTGCCGTCATCTTCATGAGGTAATGGATCATAAAAATTCCATGCATTGTCATACGGGATGGTTCTTTGCCAGTCAGGTTGCGAATAGACGAGTTACGATGTCCATTGTGGAGTTATCGATACAGTAGAAATTAAAAGGAGCCAATACTCGAGGTACGATTCAGAACACGATGCATACACCATTGACGTCTCCTATGGTGTACTTTATCGACAGTCCCGCCCCACACCAGATACCATACCTCGTCCATTCGCACCATGATGATTTTAAAGGATATGGAGAAAAATTCTATTTTTTAACTATTACAGAAATGGAGTCCGACAAATGTTAATCCAGACAACAGTGGATATAAACAGTTCATATAAACATAAAGGTACATGCAATTATTAACCATCCATCAATCTTCTTCAAAGGAGGCATGCCCTGTTAATTATGTGGAAAATCTGAGGTCATCGCAATTCTTTTTAAATTCAATACATCAAATAACAATGGTTGACCTATATGACTTTCAAATTTCACGCACAGAGATAAATCTAAAAATGTACTGTGTTTGGTTATTTGAGCGATAAACAAATCTTAACGAAGGCTTTCATTCCGATGTGCTCTGACGTGCTCTAAGGATTTCAAATTAGCTATATAATTTTTGTCTAGGTAGTAAACAAAATATATCTGGATATCGACTGGGAACCAGATAGCGTCTGGTAATATTACTTAGAATATTACTAAGGTTAAAATAAAACTGTTTTCTAGAATAATAAATAATGACATAAACCGTCTGTCCCCTATTTCATTTCTTTCTTTACTACTGTAGAATGACTAACAGTATTACAGTTTCTATTGAATTGTATTCTTGTATTGTTTGTCTCGAACTTTTTATTATTTACCCACTAAAGAAATAAGAAACTTCCACATGGTACACAAATTTAGATGGATTGGAAATTAATGTCGACGATGTCTCCACATAATGTGTTTAAATTCTCTTACAAAGCCGGGATACTGCTCAATGTTTAGTTTAAATTTTATAAAGAAGGAACAACCTCACACCATAGTGTTTATTGCCGATTGATGGGTTATGTTCAATCTCGAGCACAATTTGGTACACGGAACCAAGGATTCCACTTGAACGCCTCTGCACATATTCCAAGTGGGCTTCACTACTGTTGGCAATTTAGATCACAATAAAAGCTATCGCGACCCCCAGAAATTGCACTAGCACGAAAAAGTCCAACACTTTGGGCTAATGAAGACGGATATGAGAAAAGTAATCGAGAGGAGTAACCATACAAAGGTACCAACTTACTTTCGGATCTTCAAGAAATTCCACCATTGCCTCTTCGCCATCTAATAGAACTGATACTATGGTTTCTGGTTCACATTCATTATCAGCTGTAATATAGATAATAAAAGTTTTACGTCCTACTTTTCTGTACTTGTGTGGGGATAATGAGAACGGGACCGTTCGTTTTCGATATTCAACCGAGGAAGAAAATTTAACTTGGACAGTCTGTTGCACACGAGCCTCCGTTTATTCTTCATTCCATAGAAGTATTAGATCGACATCTATATGCTTGAAACGTTTTGTTTAAGCACAATTTTGAAGAGCAAAACCAAACAATTCGGACCAGATGGATTTGACCAGGAACACCTCCCAGCTGTTCATTCAGAACACTGAATTTGTGAATAATGTTCGTGTAATATACAATAAAAAGAAGAAAGAATTGAGAAGCAAACTCATACAGACTTGACCGAATAAATTGATAGCTTTACTTAATGTGAAAAAGTAAATGTGAAGTCTTTATTTATTACCGAGTCATTACACTTGATGTGACTATTAGATTTATAGCATTATTAAGATCGAGCTTCAAAACCTATCAATCTTAAATAGTTTTTATTTGATTACGACCTTCCTATGATTGCTTGCCAAGTGGATCAGCAATTCTGATATATATCGTATGGGAAGTTGCAATGTGGCTCCCTGTTCGATATCAATTTGATAACAGCAAAACTCTTTAAATGGTTGAGATTCAACACTGTTATTCTGACATTAACTGATCTTCAAAAGTTTACGTTTCATTCCGTTTCAAACTTTTAAAATGTCACATTAACCTGTTCCTAACTATTCAAATGGTCATAAGGGTCAACATCCATTTCTACAAAGAATTTGACCAATTCAGACACAGTCTAAACACACATTTTTATTTCAAAGAGTTGTTAAATGTACAGGAATACATATGCTGTTAAACATGTTCCCTGACGTTTCCTTACATCAGGTAAATGGTCAAAAACGACACTTCGAGCTAAGAACTCAAAAAATGACTACGAAACCATGGTATTCAAAACAATCATCCGCCATGTATCGTCCTAACAAGGACGCTAGGATATCTTAGGATCTAGTTTCCACAATATCCTAACACTAAGATAGTTTCTAGAATATCCTAATGCAAAGATAGTCTCTTGAATATCCTAACACTAAGATAGTTTCTAGAATATCCTAAAGCTAAGATAGTTTCTAGAATATCCTAGCAGTAAGATAGTTTCTAGAATATCCTAGGGGTAAGATAGTTTCTAGAATATCCTAGGGGTAAGATAGTTTCTAGAATATCCTAGCGGTAAGATAGTTTCTAGAATATCCTAGCGGTAAGATAGTTTCTAGAATATCCTAGGGGTAAGATAGTTTCTAGAATATCCTAGCGGTAAGATAGTTTCTAGAATATCCTAGGGATAAGATATTTTCTAGAATATCCTAGGGATAAGATAGTTTCTAGAATATCCTAGCGGTGAGATAGTTTCTAGAATATCCTAGCGGTAAGGTAGCTTCTAGAATATCCTAGCGGTAAGGTGGTTTCTAGAATATCCTAAAGCTAAGATAGTTTCTAGAATATCCTAGCAGTAAGATAGTTTCTAGAATATCCTAGGGGTAAGATAGTTTCTAGAATATCCTAGGGGTAAGATAGTTTCTAGAATATCCTAGCGGTAAGATAGTTTCTAGAATATCCTAGCGGTAAGATAGTTTCTAGAATATCCTAGGGGTAAGATAGTTTCTAGAATATCCTAGCGGTAAGATAGTTTCTAGAATATCCTAGGGATAAGATATTTTCTAGAATATCCTAGGGATAAGATAGTTTCTAGAATATCCTAGCGGTGAGATAGTTTCTAGAATATCCTAGCGGTAAGGTAGCTTCTAGAATATCCTAGCGGTAAGGTGGTTTCTAGAATATCCTAGCGGTAAGATAGTTTCTAGAATATCCTAACGGTAAGATAGTTTCTAGAATATCCTAGCGGTAAGATAGTTTCTAGAATATCCTAGCGGTAAGATAGTTTCTAGAATATCCTAGCGGTAAGATAGTTTCTAGAATATCCTAGCGGTAAGATAGTTTCTAGAATATCCTAGCGGTAAGATAGTTTCTAGAATATCCTAGGGGTAAGATAGTTTCTAGAATATTCTAGCGGTAAGATAGTTTCTAGAATATCCTAGGGATAAGATAGTTTCTAGAATATCCTAGGGATAAGATAGTTTCTAGAATATCCTAGCGGTAAGATAGTTTCTAGAATATCCTAGCGGTGAGATAGTTTCTAGAATATCCTAGCGGTATGATAGTTTCTAGAATATCCTAGCGGTAAGATAGTTTCTAGAATATCCTAGCGGTAAGATAGTTTCTAGAATATCCTAGCGGTGAGATAGTTTCTAGAATATCCTAGCAGTAAGATAACTTCTAGAATATCCTAGCGGTAAGATAGTTTCTAGAATATCCTAGCAGTAAGATAGTTTCTAGAATATCCTAGCGATAAGATAGTTTCTAGAATATCCTAGCGGAAAGATAGTTTCTAGAATATCATAGCGGTAAGATAGTTTCTAGAATATCCTAGGGGTAAGATACTTTCTAGAATATCCTAGCGGTAAGATAGTTTCTAGAATATCCTAGCGGTAAGATAGTTTCTAGAATATCCTAGCGGTAAGATAGTCTCTAGAATATCCTAGCGGTAAGATAGTTTCTAGAATATCATAGCGGTAAGATAGTTTCTAGAATATCCTAGGGATAAGATAGTCTCTAGAATATCCTAGCGGTAAGATAGTTTCTAGAATATCCTAACGCTAACATAGTTTCTAGAATATCCTAGCGGTAAGATAGTTTCTAGGATATCCTAGCGGTAAGATAGTTTCTAGAATATCCTAGCGGTAAGATAGTTTCTAGAATATCCTAGGGGTAAGATAGTTTCTAGAATATCCTAGCGGTAAGATAGTTTCTAGAATATCCTAGCAGTAAGATAGTTTCTAGAATATCCTAGGGGTAAGATAGTTTCTAGAATATCCTAGCGGTAAGATAGTTTCTAGAATATATGGCAAGGCGACAGAGTGGTAACGTGTCTGTAGAAAAGCATATTGTCGTTTTGAAATGCTAACTTTATGAAGTATTTTGATCTTAAAACTAAAAATGGTTACAGAATGATGATAATTAATGTTCACTAAGCTATTTCTATATGGTGCTCACATTGATTAATTAGAAATTAGAAACCGAATAACTGAAAAAGGACATGACTTATCACACCCACTCTAGGGAATGGAAATTAATAAATAGATAGACTAATAATGTCACACATATAACTGTTTAATATGGATAAACAATAGTGTCATATCTGGATGATCCTAAACTTGGTCAGTTTCATATTCACCAATTGTTAAAACTCGTTCAGAAATATTGAAATACAAGATGGTCCATATATTTGACCCATTAAAACACAATAAAATATGGTAGAAAGTTCATTCTGGAAATATTGTGACCTACTTTTGGCCATTAGTAACCGAACTCTACTTATCACAGGTCTGAAAAAATACCGTAGTTGAGATTCGGGGTCATTTTTGCTGGAAGCTTTACACGCTTAATGGAATCATCATGTTTCAATCGTATTTAGAATGACACAATCAAACCCTGTACATTACCCGAGGTTTCGCCTTAGATTAACATAACGGATTATGATTTTAAACTGATCGGAGTCATTAATGCGCAAAACGCTTTCTTCTCCCAGAAAAAGATGTGATGAGCAATTCACCATTGTCTGTTTAAATGTTTTTTCTCGGCTTCTTATATTGCAAGATCGAAGTTTGAAACTTTTCAGTCCACAACTGCTCTGATTTTCTCATGTTGGGAATCAGCCTTTAAATTGCCATGCAGACATAAATTTATCTCCAATATATATACAGAAAATACCATAAGTGAATTCCAGTATCAAAATAGAGGTCAACAAGATCGATAAAGGTCACAATTAACCCTCCTTTCCTCGTCTATAAATAGAAACTCTTATATCAATACATCAATTTTCGACTGTGGAATGACTTTGATTATGTTACCGACCAATGTTTAGTTGAATCCTTTCATAGTTCTTGCTATTAAACGTCTGATTTATTGACTCTGCCTTTCTGTTACAATAAAAGCCATTTCAGAAGAGACTGGCATGTAAACAATAGCTCATTTCACATATTTCTGTTTCAGAAGAATTCCCAATCTTTATAAATGATCAAATAATAAGAAAATCTTGAACCATTGATGATCAATGATATCAAGTTATCTTCAGTTACAGCCATTGATAATCGTCTACCACCGATACTTCATGGTATCGAAAATATTGTTTTACACCCATCCTTCTACTGTAGTTTATGTTAATGAAGACAGGTAACACCCTGTAGTGGGTAACGAAGGACTTTCTCTAAAGCAATGGTATACCATAATAGCATAACTCGTTTTATATATATATAATTTTCAACCAAGGATCTTCATCGTGCGTTGTCTTGATTTATCGGTCCATCCGAATGACTGGGCGCTTTTACTGGTTACTCATCCATCACTAACAGTTTGAAAAATTGTATTAGCTAGATCCTTTGTCGGAAGAGAACCATCAGGAATGTAAGCAAATGTCCGGATAATGAACCACCTTTTAAGGATATCTGTAGATGTGTCAGAAGCTATAAAAGTACAGCGTTCAGTTGTTCAAGAAGACGTCAAATATCAATAAAATAGTAATATATGACACACACCACAAAAAAACCAATTTAACGTTGGCTTATTGAAACGAAGGCAGATGTTCTTGTACTTCCATTAAAGCTTGTAGCATTTTTTTAAATTGACAATCTTGAGTAAGAATTTAAAATAAATATATATAATCTCCAGACTACTTCTTAGCTACTTCCTCTTTAATACAACCTGAAGAAAATGGATTGAAAATAACTGAAATTCTGAACACAGTTGAGGAACATTTAGATTAAATTAAATTGAAAGACGCTGTGACCGCACGATTTAGTCGGCTAGAGCAATCTAAAATGATATTTAAGCGGTACGAGGTAATATTTGTTTATTTATTTTTAAAAAAAAAAAAATAAGGACATAAACTTGACTAGAAAATAATTCGTGCAAAACTAAGATCTTCTGTATCGTGGTAAGCTAGACCAAGGATAAACAGATGTGAAAAAGACACAGTAGCTAGGAACGGGTGAGTTCTTGAGTGCCAAACTAGGTTGGTTTAGGCAGAACACGTTATAGACGAATAACTATTGAGGTAAATAATGCCAGAGTCATTTTATGCATTTTTTATGTTCGATTCTTTGTGCTAGAAAGATATAAAAGTGCTTATATCATATAGTCACCATTGTAATTACATATTACAAAAGATTACTGTTTTATTACATCAATATATTGTTTACATTTATTGTCTGAAATATCATTGATCTTTCTAATGTAATAAAGTGTAATACACGTAGTACGAACACTTGGTATGATAAAACCCAGTCAGTTACAATATCAAGCCAAGTTATATCGTTGATCTAGTTAAGAACAGCCTGAAAACAGTTCTTTCCAGAAAAAAATTCCAAATTGACATCGATTTTCAATCAAAAGCCGGAATAAAAACATTTATGTAATCAAACAGTAATCAGTTATAACAAATTATTGTTATTTATGTTTCCGGGGTCTGAATACTATACCTATTAACTTAGTTCCATACCATCCTGTATGTCTGATAACGTTTAGATAATAACAATAGATTCATTTCATATAATAGAAAGGAATTGGGTTATATTGATATTTATTTCTTCATGTTTCATTATAAACCAGGAAGTAAGTCTAAAACGCAGTATGACGCAGCACTATTAATTATTAGATAACTATTTCCATGTTGAATACAATCTGAGATGGGTTTTGATATGAAAAGTTTGCACCTTTTAAAGTACACTGGACGATGTGTTGTATATCGGTGGTTGTGGGTGAGACTTATTGCTCTTTTTTAATCAATATTCAAATGGTAGAGCTACAGTGTGTACTGAAAGGCTTCGATATGGTTGAACATTGAAGAAGCGAATTGTGCCCGAACCCGTATCTCGTTTATTCTACTAACAGCTGTATCGATAAACCACACCTTAAAACATCACGGGAACAGTATGTGTATGTAGAAAGATTGCTCTTTAAATGGCACTGACTGTTTCATTCGAGCTGCTTTAATCACACTTTATTTCAATTGCAAATTCTAGTGGATAACTATCTTCTAGTGCTTCTGGCTACAAGAGCTACAATAAAATAGACCTAATTTTTTACGCATCCAGATTGATTGCATTCCTTCTTGAACAAAGCCATTTCTTAGAAATAAAATGGCAAAAAATCTATCCTATTATAATAACAAATCTTTTAAAACTATCTTCGTAGGTCGTGTCATATCTCAGCTTTTTTTCAGTCAAACAAGAGTTGAACATTATCAGTTTTCCCATCATAGACACGATTATTGATTCTTTCTCGTTTTTGATAAACGAGGACATTTTCTCCAAACATTGAGATGTCGTATTTAAGTGCATTCGTGAATTTATAAGAAAATAGTTGAAGATATGTCACGGTGCGCGGTTGTTTTGACATACTGCTCTTCATGTATAAAAAGGATTTAAGAATATAATCTAAAAGAATATTCAATAATATCATTTACAAAGGAAATTGTATCCATCAGAAGGTTTTTGCTTTTCATTTGTCATTCATTGTTGATCAACGTTAAGTAAAATAATCAAATAAATCATGTCATGAAATTATTTATAATTCCTTATATATATTTGTTCGCCAGTTCCGGATCGATCAAAATTTAGGTCGAGGTAGCTCATAATAGGACAAAAAGGCCCTGTATAATTGTTAGGATATAGTATATGTACAGCATCGAAATATTGAATACTTGCAAAACCTTGCCTTGCTCATTAGACACAATGGGGAGTAGCGTATTCCTTCGCCTAAATTATGTCAAAATAGATTCTGCATCATCGTAAAGCAGAAGGCTATGACTTTACGAGTTCTCACCAAAGCAATATTACCAAGGCAGAGACAAAACTGACAGAAAAACACCTTTGAGTGTGATTGTTCACTGAAACTCACGAACGCCGATCGGGGAACTGTCTGTTGTATTGTCTTCGTGATATCCAATCTCATGATATCAAGTGCAATATATGATCTGATAACGAGCTCACAAAAAAACAATTTCCAGTTGTAAGTCAAACAGAGTTAGACGACCCCCCACAGTCGTTATTGTGCCGATAGTGGCAATTTGTATCGGAACATTTCGTGAAAACAACAGCTGTTCGGAAATTAGCTGTATATCCCCTAAACATCCCAAACTGGTCAGTGATCATTCAACCTTACAGCAAATATTCACTGATCATTACGTTCTTCGGTGATTCAGTCTACCTTAACGTGGCGTGAATGATGTGTTTATTTCTCCGATCTGAATGAAAATTAACACTAACCGTGTGTCAAAAGTCAAAAGGGGTTCGATTAGCAGCCAAATGGCAGACGACACCTTGGTATGAAGTCCTATTCGAGCATATTCACTTATTCAACTTGCAATACTGGCAAGGGACGATTACTTTTTTAGTCGGAAATAAACAAGAATTACTCAATTTAACAGAAAACTGTCGCGTGATCTTTGACAAACACAACCAAATGCAAGCTCAATATCTGTCCAACCCGTGTCAGTACTAATATGTATTAAACCTCATTCAGTAATAAACAAGAATAACAAATTCCAATTACAGAAAAGACTGTTATTAATTGCATTCACTTCAGGATACTATAACCTGAGAATGCTGGATGTTATTGAATGAACAAATGGGTGCTTTGATGATATTGCCGAAGATCATGTCGACGATAAACTGAAAGCATCCTACTGACGTTACGAGGTATACATCAAGACTTAACCCCCCTTACAAAATATAATGCAAAAAGGAATTTACGCCGAGATAGCATAGCTTTAATTGAAATATACCACAACCATTTCTGTCGACCCAGCTGTAAATGGGTCCGTATCAATGCCAAGAGTTTTGGCTAAGGACCAGCTTGTTTAGAAATTGTATACCAAAGTTGTTATCCGTGTAAAATGTAATTGTTCCTTTCTGTCTTAAATCGTTAGAAGTTGAAATCTATTTAGCTGAACCCAAGTGTATAATGATTCATAAAATAAATTTGATGGTGAAATCGATCGAAAGCTGCAAACTGCATATTGAGTTTTTAGTTGTTTTAGCGATGGGTGCTGGTACGAAATCTTCAAGTGGATCTTAAATAAGACTTCGCTAACCAGAAATTGGTCGAAGCATCGCGAACTATGATTATGGCAGGGAGATTGATACTTCCATTTAGATCGATTTACAGGTCTATTTAACAACATATTTGTGCTAGCTGGGGGTAATAAATAACCATAGTTGTCTAATTATTATTACTGTTATAAACTTGAAACTAATAATCTGAATGTTATAACAGGAAATTAATACAGGCTGATATTGGCTGACTAGGCGTTACTATAAATAGCCCTATTTATAGCGAATAGTCAGAGTAGCAAACAAGGCGAACTAAATCGTTGTTTGAATTGTCCATTATCGAAATAATATGTTTCAATTCTAGTCAAACAATACTTTAAGATTGAATAAGTTGACCATCACTACTTGGCAAGTAACATTATGGATGTTCGAATGGACCCATTTCATACATTTGTATATGTACAGTCGTACATGTCTCTTTAAAATAGGTTTGCTATTTGATATTCCAGTACAAATCTACTCCAATTTGCAATACACTGAAAGACTAAGAACAGCTTTTCAAAATCTAACCTAGATAAAACAGACGTGAACTGTAAAATCTGGCTCCCGTTGATTCTGTTCATTAACATTCAGACGTCCACAAGGAAAACTATTGCATTTATCTCTGCTAATGATTTCCTTTCTGTAATCTTATCTGATATTTGGAATACTCTGGGGGTATGACAACGACGAAAACATGCGACATATTCAAAAGAACCTTTTTGTACCACATTAATTCAAAAATTCAAACTAAACATCCAATCATTAGATGTGTGTGTAGCAACGGCGGGCGTGGGACCAGGCAGTGCATGCTTATCTTCTAGACACCTGATACCACTTGACATTATAAAATACGTCTTCATATAAGATTGATATACCTCCTCATTTGATCAATGTATTATCAACTAATATTTTTGGAAACAATAGAAAAGAAGATTTCTCGGCATTTCCATCACCACCCCACTATCTGGACCGACTCCAGTAAAACATTTTATGCTAACCAGTTTAGGCTAATGATTGTATTATTGTTAGAAATCCTCTTTCTCCCTCCATTTTGCGGTTTTTGACAAATATTTTACCTAGATTTGACCTGGAAATTGATGTCTGGAATTACATTTTCTTTCAGATTAAGTGAGCTGATGAGACATTTTCATGCGGGAGGATAATTCTAAAAAAAAGTTGGGCAAGTTCAAGATTTTTGGTCATTTTATGTTGAATTTTTGTCCAGAAACTAAGTTTTCAGCGAGATTTCTGAAAAAAGTTAAAGGATGTTGAATTTCGAGATTAAACTTGGAAATAGACGACAGATGAATTACCGGAGTGAGTCCATCTTGTTTCATATGATTTACATCCGGAAAGAATTGCCTTTTGAGACCTCCTGGCAATTTCGTAACCCTGCGTCTACCCCCAGACCTTATGATTCATAGAAACTCCACTGTTTTCAGTAGGTGTAAGGTGTTAACAATAAGATATACAACTTTAGATCTATTACATTTTTGTCTGCCCACTCATTCTTACACCAGATCAACTCTAAATTGTTATCTGATCTTTTTTATACAGTATTTTAATTGAGTGTTATTCTTATCAGTTACGCCAGATTTTAAATAGCATCGTTCCGAGCCTACACATCACTAGCTCATGGATGTGTTGTTAACAGTTGGTATCAGTTATGCAGCACCAGATGCGTTCCGCTTAAATTTTTCCAATATTGGAATATTGGTGAAATGATAATGGAAAGATTGTAAGTGACATTGTTCCGACACATATTTTTCAATGCTCCATGGATGCGTAGTTGATAGGAACACCCTTAACTTCAACTTTTGGTTCCCACCAGTAGATTAGAATATTGTTGTAATAATTCTGGAACTTAAATCTATTGAGACAAGCAAACTCAGTTCACGACGATAATGGCGAGAAACAAAATGCATTCGCTTGATGTATTTTAAATTATTGCTGTTTTGGGAGAAGAAAAACTGGCATAGTTACACAAATTACTTATTTTCAATAAAAGTCTCAAGAATACTCTATCTCTCCGAATAATCAATTAAATTGCATGTAAGTTTGTTACAGAAGAAATGAAACGTCAAGGAAACGAGAATTAACGTGACGAAAACAACACATCTTAAGGGGGAGCATCTTTTATTGGAAACAGAGAAACAGTTTATCTTGCAATTCACAAGACAATACCATAACGAGACAGTTTAACATTATTTCTTGTAATAAATGAGATGCTCTAGCAGCTAACTAAACAATCGATTCTAAACTGATTACAAGAAATTAGATTTTTACTATTTTTATATCTGAAGTAATAAATCACGGTTAAATATAAACAATTATATTGAAACATTCTGTTAAATAACATTCTTTACGAGGTTCAAACACACCATAAACATAATTAAATACACGTTTCAATTTTTCTTTATAGAGTATTGCAGACATTCCTCATTCTTTAAAAAACAATGTTTACAAATGTGTAAATCAATTAGCATATACACGTAATGATGCCCTTAAAAGAGATTTATATGAAAGTTCCACAAACGTACAACATTGGACGTCAGGTGATTCGCAAACATAATTACCGATAGAATGAGTTATGAAACTTGGTGTTAAAAAATTTGAGAGCGATTGGAATTTCAACCATTGCTAATCTTAACTGGTGGCATCAGCGAGAATCTGGTTATTCGCTGGATTTTGTCGTAACGCATCGACGACTGATGAGTAGCCGTCAGTTGGTTGTGCTGTGGTTGATAGGAGTCAGTGATATTTCAAAGAGTGGTTTACGACTTCTGATCAGCCGTCTAAATTTTGTAGAAATTAGATGCGCATGATTAAATTCATACTACTACGACAATGCTCCTTAAGTTTCACAAAGAGAATCCTTAAACGAAAATAGAAGATAGAAACCCTCATAAGTTATTTTGGAAGTAGTTGTGGATCTGCGTGTTGAACACGATTATTTCAAATGGACCTAAAATGATTGCTCTTACGAATACAGAAAGAGCAATGTTCGTGCTTCTTTCAGGATTTATTTAATTTCTATTTCTACTGTCTACATTTCCAAGATATTTATCAAGTATATATTGGCAATTAACATGAATTTTTTAAAAAATCCCAGACTATCTAATTTTTTTCTTCATTTTCCCTAATAACATAGTTTAACCTTTACAATTTCTCCAATAAAAATAGGATTATAATAGTTTAAGGCAAGATTTCGATACGTCAGAGAAATTTCTTCCAAATCTCACATGTCACAATTAAGTGTATTCGAATATACATGTCATCTTATATGAATGGTTTGACAAGAATGAACTGCTTCGGGTCAAAAAAGCTTCCGTCTCAGAATCGAGTTAAAAATGTATTCTTGAAATCTAGGAATTTAAATCGAGCAATCTTGAAACGGATAAAGTCGTCTAAATATTACCTTGATCAAGAGCTTAATTTCAAATATCCATACCATTTTCAAAATTTAAATCCTACTTCCGGTTCTTGTTAATTTAAAAAATCGTGTACCACAGAAGTATAGACTTTGAAATTGGAAAAGTTCTACAGATGGTGGCTAAAATAGAGTCCAAATCGTAAGGAACCTGAATTCGGATAAGTTCTACGGATGACTAGGCTTATTAAAAAGACTACATATATATACCTTTTACCTTCAACAAAATCAATTATCTGTGTTTGTTCAGATTTTGATGTTGGTAATTTTTGATACATTATTCCAGAAAAACAACAGCTGTCCGAAAATTAGCTCTATATATTCCCTCACCACCTTGATCTGGCCAGTGCCCGTTCAACATTTCATTTTGACCATAGGACCTGATATTTAGTGTAGAAAATATATAATAGTTCTTGGAAGGTGTTATTTGATCTACATATTCAAATCATGGAGGTCTGTCAGCAAATTAACAACAGGACGTTTCATTGAATGTTATTTTTCTGCTTCTTCATTAACCGAAGACTAGAACATGTGGGGGAATTTGCAAGAACCGTAGAGAGATCATTTCGGTTCGCAGCCAATAGCACCATAGCCTCTATTTGTTGTTACAGGCCGGGCGCACTGTGGACGAATAATCAATTTCTTGATCAAGTAGAGTACCATCATCTACTGTAAAAGTCTGAGAAAACATATTTTTTCTGTATATAAGTATAAACAATACTCTATTTAAAACAGTAATTCAATTTTTATACTAAATAGCAGATGCTACCAATAAATGTAGAAAGTCATTAGATGCCTATGGCTCTACCATATAATTGTGTTACAAAGAAGAAATTATCAGAATCTTAGAAAGAACCTTATCATTGTTCCTGTAGATAGCAACGATGGCTTATTTTTCGCTACTCTATGGATTATTGTTCAATTCATAGTTTGTAATATCAGCACGAACTCTACTCAATGATATTACTATAACTGTTAAGCAGCAATGGCAGGTGTGGCGCCAGGCTGATTCTTATGCATATTCTTCTTGGCACCTAACATCTGAGTTTGGATCGTTAGTTCTGGTTTTATTGTTATTAGTCTGGTTAACAACTATATAATGAAGAAAAAGGCGATTATATATTATGAGATTTCTTTACAGAACATTTAATATCTAATATAAAATTATACACATTTTCATAAAGAGTTTTTTTTCACAGAAAAACTACAATCGTTCCAAATGTATGCCATCTTTAATTATAGAAATAATCACAGTAAACAATTATATTGAAACATTCTGTAAATAAAATTCTTTACGAGATTCTATAGATACCATTAGGTACAGATTTCTTCAGTCAATTATGATTTAAGAGAATTAAAGGCAATAATAACTCAATTTTCTGACATTAAAAATTGCACCATTAAATACACGTCAGTATGACTAGGTTGTTATCCTACATTCCCTATAGGCCATGAACATAGAAAGATAATTTTAACGAGTAAAATTTGATACATTTGATTTAATTTGTCTATGGCAATTAGTACAATCATCAGCGTATATTAAAATATTGACGAAGATAATTTTGACAATATGACTGAATAAACTATGGCATCCTGATCAACAGAGAAATTCTACCTATCGGAGATATTACTAGTTCTGCGACTATACGGAGCTAAGCAAGATGCGAAGTTTCGTATGAAACTATGGTTGCCAAGATTTGGTTGGGAACTGGCTGTCTAACCCTGACGCAATCAAATGATGAGTGGAACCATTTCAATATTGTCAAGGGAGTGAACTCTGTGTGAATATATGTACTAGACAAATACGTCAGAGAGAATTATTCACGGGAAACAACTGATTACAAAATGCATTAATAAACTCGACCGGATCAATTTGGGATTCAATTGATCTAAATCAGGAGGAGTCTGATATCAGTATGAATTTTATGATATTACAATATGACATTATGTCGGACATGTGCATTCTAACGTAATCATCATTACAGTCTGTCGATTGCACATTTTTCGGGAAATCAAAAATATTGCCCATGTTGAGAGTGAGAAATAATCGCTCCGTGGCAGGAAATCTGTGACCTAAATATGTTTTCAGTACGATTAATAGAGTTTATCCCAGAATGATATATGACAGTTCCAGTCTTTCTTATGACATTACTGGATACAATAACTCACTTATTATCATCACTTGACATTGCCGCATCAACCAGATACGACATGAGGCATGAAGATCTGCTAAATTAGGTTAAGGGAATTTTGATGGAAGATTGGCAGTGATGATAGAATGAAATCTATTTAAGATATATTATTAAAACTGTCTACCAGATGACCTAATTATATTTACTCATTATCTCTTTTTCTCTGTCTCCATCTCAAATCACTTACCTGAGGCGAAATTACTTTTAAAACATACGAGGCTATATAGTAAATAATTTTCTATCATTGATTGGTAAAGAGACTTCTGGTATTAAAAGAACAAATGAGTAAACTTGCAGACAATATGCTGATGCCGTACATTTTGAAATATACAGTTCCTGAAAGATGTATATTACAGTACCATTAAATGTGTAAGAGTAAAACAAAATGTCTTCCACTCCTCTCAATTCTCTTCGGCGTGTGGTAGTCTGGTGAATAAGTCGTCTTTTTTCATTACTTCCTGTAGACCCTGCTTTGAATAGGTGCGGATAATTCGGGAAATATATATGCCAAGCGGTTTAGCCAAGAACTAGCTGATAAAAAGGACCCATGTTAATCTATGTTGTTATCGTTGTAACAATAAAGCCATACAATCAAGACCATTCTGTTAATCAAAATCCCACCCAAAGAATGGCAAAAATCGGGAGTAAAAGTTGTATAGTAGTGGACTCTTCCAAAGAGAAGTGTTTCGAAAAAGTAAGCCTGGTCTGTTTCGAGCGCGACATCCGCCACTACTATCTAGGTCATCATCATGAGATACAATCAGATCAATTTATGGCTGACCAAACAAATCAGCATGGTTGTTTGTTTCTTGTCGTATACATGGACCACTTTATTTGGTAAATTACCATTAAATTCAATTTGTATTAACCCTGACATTTTGTAACATGTAAATCAGAAAAATTGAACGTAAACCTTGTCAACAAATAGCCTATTTATACACCAATTCTTTCAAAGCATTTGCTATATCGATTCCTAACACATATGGATTTCAAGCTTAATGTGATAGATTAATCCCATTAGAACATTTCAATTAGTTGATTAGCGGCGATGTTCAACAGAATAAGTAAAAAGATATCGGCTCAGAGAATAATTGAGGCGAAGACAGAAAAATCATTCAAACGTTACACGAGGGTGGCTGTATTGAAGTACTTTAATTGGGCTTAATTTTTGACGAAACAAAGGATACAACCTACTCATTATTCAAGGCCCTTCCAATGTCTAAAGTGCCGCACTTCGTATTAAAGTCCTTTGCAAATGACAGGAATCATGTTACATCGATTCTCGAAATTGTGGGTATGGCTGCAGTCATCATTCGAGCGTTTCACTCGTATCCAGAACTGCTCGACTACAAGCAACTGCAATTACTTGAAAACCAAGTCACAGTACTTATCTTTATTGAGCTTAGGTCTGAGGACATTGACGTTAGGGGTTAAAGCTAATGAGACAGCCTTGTTCTTGTACCAACAGAGTCATCGGCCTATTAATATTATGTAATCAAAACTCAGTACATGGTAAATAACAGTAATACGATCTCATGCCTAATAATTCGGTTAAATTAACCGGCTGTAATAGGTATATAAAACTGTATCGATTTGTGATTATTCCATAGAATATCAGAATTGAATTCCAGTTTGCTTATTATGAGAAATCAAAGAAAATGAATTGCGAAATGTTACTTTCTCAGTGGGTTCTTTATATGCTGGGACAGAAATCAGGAAAACGGTTCGTCATAATACATGAATACACGTCGATTTCAATAAACCACCTAAAGGCACTTCCTATCTACGTATGTTAAGCTATACTATTTAATATATAGAAATGAAGAGAGATTAATGACAGTCGATTTTAGTCATCTTTGCTGATATTCTTCGTGATATATATGAAGCACCAGAAAGAGTTTGCTGAATTTATATCGGTGTAATATATGCACACTATAGAGAGGTTTAGCTAGATTGTCAATGAAAATGATTCTAAACCAATTCAAATTGGAAAACTCTATGATGTAACAACACACAGTATATGTTATACTATTGACCAATGTAAGCTACATAAACAATTAGAACGGGATGCATGTTGACATAACAAGTCGACAAGTTGCATTAGGTATATCGTATGCATGAGCGTGAAACCTTTCAGTGAATCTCAAACGTAGTAGTCATTTCAATAGCGGAAAACATCAGATAGCCGTATCTGATCAACCTCATATCGCTGGCGACTATATTCTACAGGCAATCTTTTCTTCATAATGTATAACACCGGTATTATTTATGAGAATTCATACATAGAGAAAGAAGTATAAAGACTTACGAGAAGAGGCGTTATAACCCATACATTCTGATGTCATAAACTGCCTTAACAAGGTCGACTTCCCCACACCATTACTGCCTAATATAGCTACTTTAAAATAGGAAGGTGCTGACGAACCACCTTGACTGTCATCTGATGTAACACTTAATGTTCGTAGTTTTTTGTCAGGTTCTGTAACAGCACTGCCACTGGACATTAAACTGTTTGTACTTCGATTTTTAAAAGAATCTCCACGATTGATTAAATGTTTGGAAGTGGTTTTAAAAGAGCGAACTCGACACAATTGGGCCTTTGGTATGTTTTTGAAACCATCCTCTGGTAATTTCAGAAACAACTGACAATTTGGCACACTGTTGGTCCTTTGTCGAGATTTTCTAATCTGAAGATCGCTTGGTCTGTTCCTAGTTTTAAACGAACAAGATCTCGAATGTGGTGCAGACGACACTTCCATTTTTACAGATATATTCTCAAATTTTCAAAACAACTCGAAATATTTGTTTAAAATGTTTACTGCATGAGAGTTATCAGCACCTTTGAAAGATCAAAAAAGTTAACTTTACATATACAGAGAAAACTTTTCTTTGGATAATCAGAAGTATTCCAATGGTGTCAAAACACACCCTGACACCTACACCAGAAACATTTCGAAGAGACTACTATCTGTTCCACAGTGTTCAAGTGTTTCGTAAAATTGTCTACTGTTCCATAGAAGTCCAAACAGATTTTTCCTGTCACCCCAAACATAATATTACCGTCTGTTTCGACAAATCCCAGAACATCCTTTTATTGAGTCACATGATGGCATACTTTGTCTATATTCATCAATATCTATTATTGAGAAATTCTGTACTCGGTAAACCGATACCTTTACTTAACAATCGATCTCGGCTACTTTCTCTCCAACACTTACTGTCTTCTTACAGATTGCTCCGAACAGATTCACATCTGCTGAAATTAAATTTTCACACCCCTTTATCTGTCGCCAGAACCTTCAATGAGGTGATAGTTGATGTTAGTAAATTAATTTAATGAATCAGCAAAACGTTTATCAGGATTAACACTCAAAGCAATCCCTCTGCTGACCCGAGAGAAACTTTTTTTTTAAAATCCAACACTATTGATGATTCCGAAAGTTATATTTCAGTTTTTCTGTTAAAGTGCTATTTTTAATTATATATGATAGCACGTATAACGAATTGGTGTTTTCAAACTTTGTTTTATTTCACAAGTAATAATATAACTGCATTTCCTGAAATAAACGTTATTGAATGGTGATCTATTTTCTGAAGTCAAATGTTTAGTATGCACTCACTAATAGATAAATCTAGAAGACTTAAACTTATAACTAATATTTTATAAACAAAACCAAGTGTTTGTATGGAATTGATTAGTATTTCTAATAGTGTGTCTATTGAACACCGTATTAATAATAATCAATGTAATGTCTATACCAGTGTTCCTGTAAGTTCCTGAAAGCCTGACTTATTCTACTACAAACTGATCACAATTAGTCTAATCTGCTAATAAAACTCCAGCAGTCAATTCACTCAATACACTTTATCAATAATCAGTCTATTCCTCCTTAGATTTCCTCTCATATTGAACGTGTTGCTGTCTGAGAAGTTCCAGGAACTATTCAATGCCAGGTTAGAAGGAATCGTGATATTTGTGTTACTACTGGGTTTAATATAATACATTATATTCCAATACTGAAAGCTATATCACAAACGTTTACTGTTTTTAAAATATCGCAATATATATAGTATGACAGTTTGACAGATCTGTATTTCTTAAAAACAAATTGGTAAAAATGCATTATATATTTGATGTAGTTTTGAATAAAATTCAAAGACAGGAATTTGTAAGACTAAAGCAACTACATTCGTGTTATCACAAACTAATTTTTGTGTGTGTTTTGTTTTAGCGAAGTAGACATTTGTGCTTTAGCTAAAATGATTCCATTGCTGCTTGACAGCCTCCTGTCGACTATTTAAGTCCAAGGGTTTGACTTAAAGCCTTCTAGTGGTTCTTATGTCACTATAGATTGAAACTAAGTGTGCTTTTGGCTGCTCAATCGAGCCTCCATGACACACCGCATGGAGTTGTCTATCTTCATAACCCAATACAGAGCAAAATGTAGGGTGTAAGTGTCCTTTATTCACTTTCGTCATGGGTGTTTCGGACCATTTGACATACCTGTACTTGATTTAAACAAAGATGCACAGATGACCCCAATGGGAACCTAGTGGGCTATCCATCGGACTATAAACCAAATGCTTCATTCACTGTTTGTTGCATTTCATCTTTCCATATCTAGATTGCCCTGCCTTTTACATGTAATCTTACAAATTGTAAATATTTTCCATGTCATATGATTTTTTTTCGTTCCCTTTGGACTCACCATTCAAACATCTTCATACGTTTGTTACATATGTGTATGAGTACGTGTATAACAAAAAAATAGAAAAGCTGACACATGCATTTATTGAGTGAATCGTGGAAATTCTCCACAGAATTCAATATTCAATAACAGTGACTTCAGTAAAATAGATTTTTTCGACAAGGGAATATCATGACAGTTCTAATATATTGAAATATTACAAACATGGATATAATTCTCTGGAGATGACAGTTAGTTTAAAGAATAAGCCGAACAATATGTAACTAGTTTCAGATAAGAATTCATTTTTTTATTTTAAAATTCATAATTTCTATTCATATATTTAATATTTTAAAGGTGCGAATGAATGATTATGGAGTTAAAGGTCGGATTCGAGTCCGGGTGTTTTTGTGTTTGACAACAAATACGCCACATACGAAATCGTTTCCGTTTTTTGCTCGGATCCGGTACCCTGTGTATCCTATTTTCTTCTGTATCCTAGCACCGTACACCGTACCAAACCCCATCTGTTCGCACCTAATAAACCTTTTCCAACTTGAAGAAGAAGAAGATCTACCACTGAATCGTTTAAAATCGTTTATGTTTTCGAGACACGAAGCCGAGTATGTGTTCTAGTTAAGTGCTTTATAATTCATGGCTTCCATCTCTTCTCAATGATCAGTCTAAATATAAGACCAGAATCCAGGGCAGTGTCCTCATAGACCAGCACAAATTTACTTGAATATCATAAAACAAAATATTTTATTGAAGGAATCCTTATATTTTAATTTCGTCAACTGTTTATAGCCGAGTGTTGTTAAACATCTCCGAGAACAATATTACTTTGAGGTTTCATCTGTCTGCCTTAAAAATATGTCTTAACTTTAATATTGTTAGCAGTCCTTCTGTGTTTGTGTGTGATTGGTGCACCTTTTAGGGATTATAAAAATGATTCATTCACTTTTCATGTGCGTTAGGGACACTGATAGCTTCAATTTGCACCATTCCAATTATCAGTCAGACGCCTGTAGCTGCAGACTGCACATCGATTCTAAGTTCCCAATACACAAAAGAGTTTTTGAAAACCTCATTACGATCAATTTAAAGAGGATCGTAGCTTAGTCTTTTTCCTTTCAGACTGGGTTTAGCAACGGTCTTTGACTCTTGGTGGTCAATAATGTCATAGAGGTCATTAATAAACCAGCTTTAAGCTCTTAAAACCTACCTTAAGACCGTATGGAGGTGGGGCTCTGCTAAAACATGTACCATGGCTTGTCGCCAGCAATACAGGCTCACTTACAATTCTTTAACATCTAATTTCACTCCACGTTTGTGCCTCTTGGCATCTCTTTCAGTGAGCACTCATAACTTATAATGCATCTTAATGGTGAATTTATTGTATTGTATTAGAATGCAAAGCTGTCAAACTTCCTCTGTATGCCTACTGTATGAAAAAATACGAAGAAAGTAGTGTGAATATAACTTGCAGAATGATCACTATGTGGACTTTCCTGTAATATTGAACATGTGAATCGACTAATTCTGTAAATTTTCTGTATGTAACTATATTACGAGATTGGTGGCTTTTTACGATTCGACAAGAAGAATTAGGCTGAAATCTTCCCTGTTGTTTAAATTGAATCGATAAAACTATTAGCAGTGGAGGATGTCAAGATGTTTGTAGTGGGTGTTTCATTCCAAAAGAATACTACAGAGACTTTTTAAGGAATAAAATTAAAACACATGTTAAATGAAATTAATGAGGCGTATTGGATATTCAGTTCCGAACAAATATTATTATAGAACTTGGCCAGGGAAAGACAGAACCAAAATATCTTCGTTTTAACCTTAGTTCCATTGAGGCGATTAGAAGGATCCTATATTTGTTTTAAAAAAAACCTCTTACGTAACTTTGGTATTAAATTTGTTAAGTCTAAAGATAGCGGACATTCAAATTTAGATTTCAATGGAATTGGCTTTATTTCATGGTGACGTAGTGTAACTTTGAAAGTATTTTTACCTGATGAAAAAGCTGCACCAAGATTTATGATGCTCTCTTATTATAGCACCGAGTTTCAGGTAATAACTTGCAAATATATAAAATTAGATAGAAGAAAAACACAATCACCTTATAAACTTATAAACTGTATTCTGTTTTCGTTTGAAACCACGCAGTAATCATTTATATTCAATTACTAAAAGATACTCGACACTCAAAACGAAGTTTTAATGAAGATCAAAATGAAATGGATGACGAAGAAATTTGGACGGAATTACTTTATTAAGTGTAGTTTATAAATTCCAATTCATCATTCAAATGATTCCCTTTCCTATTTTAAAATCTAAATGAAATGAATTGACTTCTACGTCCTACTTTTCTGCACTATGTGGGTTATCAGAATTCAAGATTCAAGATAGATGTAGAAGCTGTTTTCACGACTGTTCTGGACTGTCTTCCAAAAAACCAAAACCCAGCACACAGAGAGAAGGGGTGGGGGGTGGCGGTGTATTCCAGTTGTATATGGTAACAAGGTTGGTCATAGAATATAAATTGCTTTACTGCTTTTAATAACGCTACATAGATTTCTTGGGATCTGCCTTGTCCTCCAGCAGATGCTAGTGATTTATACCATTTACTATCAGATCAAGCAGATCAGATCAACCATTTCCGTGACTTTCAGGTACATTTCGCTGAACAATTTGAAATGATGATTTCATGTCAGAGGTTACAAAATACAACATGGAAGAGGGGTATAGTGAAACGTGACCATTATTGTGATACCAGTAGCCTATTTCTTTCAATAATATTTCTAATGCAAAATGATATTTTATTCCACTAATATTATTTGGGCCATAAAACATCAAAAGCGTATTAACACAACCAACATAATGACCTGAAGCACGACCCACTAACCCCAAATGATGATAAATGTCTACATCATAGACAGGACACATATTCTTCTTATTGCCTGCCAGAGGCATCCGATCCGGAAATGGGAAATGATGACCAATTATCTAATAAATTATACAATATCGTGCCAGGTTAGATACTCGTTTATCAATAGGGTTGAATATCCTTCATAAATAACAATAACGCATTCGAGAACTAAATGCACCGACCGTCGAAGTAAATATTCTTTGGGACGAGTAAGCTTGAATAGTTGTAAGGACCATTTTAACCGAGAAGAAAAGGCTTATTTATCATGAAAACAGTTTGTTATGAAGTTTATATGCTTGTACTCTGATTTCTGAATTCAACGAAACCTAATTGAAACTTACTTAAAATGTTCAACTAACTTTAATGACAAGCTATTACCAGCGATAAAAAATCAGAAGTTGAGTCGAAACAATTATTGAGCCATGTTTCATAAAAACGGCTCATATTAGTCTATTTTTAGAATTTGCACGTGCAACGCAGACGATGGCCTTGATAGATATGTATTTAATTGGTTATGACGTCACATCCTGTTAATCTGTTGTTTTTATAAGAACAAGTTTACAATTTGATGCAGACGCGAAATGGCTGTGAAAGAGTGAAAAGGTCCAGACTTGAATTAAGAGTTCACAAGAGTTTACATATAGCAACATTATCATTTTGGGTTGTTCAAGTCATAAATATTGAAATGACCACCAGTGTAAGAATTTACTTTTTGATTTTGACGCCATTTTTTCCTGCTTAAATGACGATTGTTTTCAAGTGTATTTTATTTTTCTAATTGAGTGAATTATTTCATGTTTACGTTTATCAACATCATTTATAAGAGCCCAGTAAATTGCAGTCGTATTCACCACCCCCATAGGAAATCAAGACAAGTCAAGCTTCGTTCCTTGTCCAATTATGGCATTTGTTATGTCTGCATGAGTACATTTACAATAAGACACAAACACCGGTAGATGTTTGTTTCGACAAATGTTCACTACTAATGTATTCGTATGTTTGAAAAAAAAAACATTGAATATATTCAAACAGACTCTGAAAATGACAGTATAAGTGCCTCAATTTTCAAAACTTAATTCTGCAAGCATATGATTTAATATTGTTTTATGATATAAATGCATAATAACTTAACAAACTAAGCTTTGTGTTGAGACACACAAATCATAAAAGGATTTCAATTCCTTTGTTTAGAGTCCAGAGATACCAGCTATAAAAGTGGAGGATATTGATGCTAACCAAGGACAACAATCATATCCTAGCAATGTTGATATATTAAAACGCATTAATGCATTATTAGGAGATTCCCTAGATTTGGCTTCTACTAGAGTTAGTGGAAATGGAGAACCAACTCGTTCTAGTAAACATGTACATTTCAATATGGGACATATTCCAGATTTAAAGGAGACCTCACAAGGTATGTGTGTCATTGTTACTGATAATTCAAGGTAAAATCATTGTCTTGCCTTTCTTAAATAAGTGTTGAGATAACTAAGCTAGCTTAGACCATGTATATTTATGGTAATCATGTGAATTGGTCTATTGATGTGAAAATTCAGAATTTTCTGATGTGAGGAAAACAGAAATTGAATTAAAACTATTGATTTTGGACTATTTTCTAGGAGTCCATATGTATAACCAGCCTAACCAAGAGCTTCAGTCTGTGTTGAACTATGCTGGAGTTGGAAGCCAACAAGCTTCCAGTACTGTTCCATCAACACCCACATCTCCTTACAATTCACAAGGTAGGCTTAATTCAGAAGCAAATTTGTTTTAAACCTTTTGTGCTTTTGTACCAACTAATTCCAGTTCTTGCATAGGCCTACTTTATTGAGAGGTTTCATGAAGTAAGTTTGCTTTAATAGTTGGCCCTTATGTATCCATCTACTCCAGATATTAGACTGGCAATTACTTATTTTTAGATTGCCAGTTAAGATCAGCCTTCAATATCCATAAATGGAAGCATTAAATTGAAAAATTATCATAAATGATAAACTATTACAGGGTTTCAGCTATTTTCTCCAAGTCCAAGTCAAAATCTAACTTCTGAAAATTGGGCCAGTATGTGCCAGACTCCCGAGGGAAGTTTTTCAACACCCAATAAATATCCCAGAGCTATAAAGGGAGAAAGATCCATGAGCTGTACCTCAAGGTAAACAACTTTTTAATTAGACTAGATAGTATAGATTTGTCTTTTCAATTTAAATAAATATTTTTTTACCCAAAATTTTATAATTAGGAGTTACATCATATTTAGTTTTGAATTTTTCAAGTGTCTGTAGAAAAAAGATTGTTCTCAGTGTTAAAGGGAGACAATCATTCATAAGCCACATTAAATTGAATTTGTTAGTTTAAAAATATTTTAGTTTGCCAAGTACTCTCTGAAAAGGTGCAAAAATAGGAAGAGCTAGTTATGCTATCCTTGTGAAACAACTGGTATATTTTGAGACTGGTTTTGCTCCTTTGATGTTCATAGATGATATTTCTCTGGTATTTCTCTTTCAGTGATTATGGTTCTCTATCACCGGTTAGTCCCATGTCTGATACATCATTATCACCAGTAGAGAAGATTATCTACTCTAGTCTGTTAAACAACAGAAACACCAGGAGTCCATCACCATGTGAATCAGATACCAGTGGATTTGGTAGTGAAGGCTCTGATGCCAATGCTCTCAATGATATGATGGTAACAGTTTTTTTTTTACATATTTCTTAATTTCAAAGGTAAAAAATTGAGTCATTGGCAGTGAGCATGGCTTATTATTAGAATTTTGCAGAATTTAGATAGTCCTTTTATGACTGTAAAGAAAGTTTCCTGATCATGCATGTAACATTGTCAAAATTTTATGACAACCATAAACTTCATTATACCTTATATCAAGACAAAACAATGATTTTGAGGTTAAATGATGATGAATAAATCGAAAGGTTTGAGAAGAATATTTCTCGTTGCAGAGTAATCTAAGTCTGGGCACCAATGGAATGAGAAACAATGTAGCCACTGCTGGGATGTCTCACCAGCAACAACAGCATCAATTAACATTACAACAATATAATCAGCACTATCAGCAATACCAACAACAACAAGCTGCTCAACAGCAGGCAGCAGCACAGCAACAGCAACAGCAAGAGATATCACAACTATCTAGTCAAATTACAACTAATTTGTGTCAATATCAGCCACAACAGTCCCAGCTTCTGAGGAACTCAACTGCTTTGAGTAATCTAACTGCTATGGGTATTGGTGCTGTGGGCAGTGTTACTCAAGATGTCAATGTATTACAAGATAGAAGCTGGCAGAATTTTAATCCATTCTTGATGACTAATGTAGATCCTTATGCTATTGATAGAGCTGCTAGACTACATAGAAATGCTGCCTGTAAGTATGAAAGCAGACATAATTTCTCTGCTCTAACCTGTTACTATCTGGACAAAAAATCTTGACTAATAATAAGGAAGAGTTTTGGCACCAAATGTGATCCAATAAACATTGCATAAGAAAATTTTTTTTTAAATGTAAACTTATTTTTGCTTCATCTATTGAAAACTTATGAATTAATTTTTAGGAACCAGTTGACCCCGTCCCCAGAATTTGGCCTTTATATTTGTTGGTGTCTTATATTTATTTTTAGCTGTAAGTGAAGCAAGTTGTACCTGGAGTGGTCAATTACCACCAAGAACTTATAAAAACCCTACATATTCCTGTAAAGTTTTCCTGGGTGGTGTTCCCTGGGATATAACTGAACGTATGTATATTTAGATTGACAAAAAACAACTCGAAAGTTTGCTTGAAAGCCTGGTTTTGATCCTCATTTCTTTTGGTGATACCAATAATTGGAACAATGCTATGAACATTAGTTTTGATAAGTTTTCAGGAAAAGTTTTATGTGCAGATTTGTTCAAAAGAAAATTTATTTTTTTCCTTATTTTCAGCTGGTTTACAGGCTGCTTTCAGTAAATTTGGTTCTTTGAAAATTGAATGGCCAGGCAAGGATGGTAAGTTGCTTATGAAATTGTTCAAATTTCAAACCTGGCATTAGGATTTATAGGATTTAATTCTTATTCTGAATATACAAAATAACAATTTTGGTGTGGATAAGTTTTCTTTCAGCTTATCCGTAACAGATCTTGGAAAAAAAATTCCCCATTTGATATGGCCTACATACAACTGTGATGAAAAGTATATCTTTTTAGACCAATGGTATAGCATCTTATCTTCCAGGTTATGTTTATCTATTATTTGATTGTGAGAAGTCAGTTCGAGCGTTGTTACAATCCTGTACACATGACTTCAGTAGTGGTGATTACTATTATAAAATATCTAGTCGTAGAATGAGATCAAAGGAGGTAACTTATTGGAGATTTTATTTATCCTATTCTTGAAACTTTCCATCAGTTTTACTGTATGTCTGTATGTACAGGGTGGAGGGGTGGGGGATATTCTGCTGTCGTCTTTCCTATTACGGTATAGACAAGTTACACATAAAATATCTTTTCCCTGAAATGCAAACTACCCATTCTATTCCTTATCTATTGATTTTGTAGGTTCAAGTAATACCATGGGTATTGGGAGATAGCAATCATGTCCGTCAACCATCACAGAGACTAGATTCTAATAAAACTATATTTGTTGGTGCTCTACATGGTATGATAACAGCTGAAGCTCTGGCCTGTATTATGAATGATTTGTTTGCTAATGTTGTTTATGCTGGAATAGATACTGATAAACACAAGTATCCAATAGGTAGGACTACTGTTCTTTTTGAAAACTTTTTATAGGAATGATGATTTAATATATTTTGAAAAAAGAATTGAATTAAATTATTTCCTGATATAAAAGTTTTGGAAGAAATAAATATATTTGTATCTATTTGTAGAACTTCTTGATTAGAAATATCTAAATTGAAGTGGAATACCCTAAAGTGAAATGTCTTATAAATGTAACTGTTGATTGTAGGATCTGGAAGAGTCACATTTAGTAATAGAAAGAGTTATATGAAAGCTGTCCAAGCTGCATTTATTGAAATTAAAACAACAAAATTCAGTAAGAAGGTAGGATAGCATTTTCTCCAAACAATAAAAGATTTTGAGCAGCAAAATTATTAAAGAATATTTCCAACAGGTGTGGTAGGTAAAAGAGTATATGATTGCTTACTGGGATATCAGGTTAGGCCATTGCTTTTCATATTATATTGATTTGATCATGGTCACAATAACCTTCATGTATATCTTAACATAATAATATTGATATTGGCCTTCCAGATTCAGATTGATCCATATCTAGATGATGCTATATGTTCAATGTGCAGTATTCAACAAGGTCCATATTTTTGTCGAGAGTTGGTGTGTTTTAAGTATTTCTGTCGTTCATGTTGGTATTGGCAACATGCTATAGAGAATATGAGACACCATAAACCATTAACAAGGAATACTAAAAATACCAGTCTTTCCATTTAAACAGGTAAGTTAGTATGTTAATTATTGAATTTACCAATTATGTAAAGTTTATTGAAAGAGTTATTTGCCCCTATAGATTTTTGGAAATTCTATTAGTCTATGCTTTGGTGCTGGGTGTAATAAAAGTTACTTTTAATTTCTTTACCACTTAATATGCAGGACTGCTGTCTGAATTCTGAAGGTTTCAGCAGATTTCAGTTTCACTAATAACAATACAACTTTTGTTGTAGATTATGATCAATGACATTTTGGATACAGAAAGAAAATAACACATTTTTTACAAGATTTTTTTTTGTTATTTTATTTATATTATGTTGAATTTTATGCACAGTTGAATAATGAAATAAAAAGTGCTATTGTTATTTATTTATAATTGTAATATTTCATTATTTATATTAGGTCTCATTTCAAATTGTTGAATTTTTATAAATTACAAAGTATAAGAAATGAATTTGGATTTAATTCAACAATTTGTCGTGCAAAATTATTCTGATTCTGCAGGGAAATGTCTTTCAATAGTGCTAAATAAAAGTGTTGAAATTTGTTGTGGATTTTTGAAATTGTCATAAAAATGGCACATCTGGATTTTTTATTTGAAATGAGTGATTTTTATGACAAATGATGTACATAATGTTCAAAAGTGGTTCAAGAATGAATTGAGAAAAAAATTGCTAAAAAAAATGATTTGAATTTGTAACAAGTGCTCATTTATTTAATTTTTGTCTTAGATTATTGTTCATTATTTTTTTCATATCTTTCGGAAAAGGGTTTTTTACTTTCTTTAAGAAAAAACGGAAAAAGTTGAAAAAAAAAAATAGTTTATATCTTTAACCATTATTTCTTTGATTAAAAACATAATTTCAAATTTATACATGACTTAAGTTTCTGTAGACTGAAGAAATAGTGTTCTGATGCAATTTAATTAATTTAATTATATTTCTAGTTAAAATTTTCCATATCATTAATGCTTAAATTTTATGCTTAATTTTAAAATAAACAAAATTCTTAAGATATCATGATTTTGAAGACCAAATTCCCATAACATTCCATTTTTATTTCAAATCTTTAATCATCTTTTATTACATGTATCTATGTTCTTTTTATATTTTGTAACTTTTGCTGCTTTTTATGTTGAAAAAGTGTTTGAAAATGATTTTTAATAAGACAATAGCTTGATGGTAATTTTGGGCCTATTTCTGTACTTTTTGGCCTGCTGGTTCCCAATTTGTCAATTATTTAAATCTACAGTCAAAATCAAAGATCTGTAATAAATTGTTTACTTCAAAAGTCAAGTCAAACTATCTGTAATAAGTAGCATATCAATTTTGCCAAAATGTAATAACAAACAGTGGCCCTATAAGAAATAATGCCTCTGTCTTGTTTAAAAGTTCTAAAATACATAGAACATCCTTTTTTGAAGTCTGAAATAAGTCTTGCTAGTTATGAAGATACAGAATAAGCCTAATATGACCTATAGATAATCTATTTTATTAGGGAAAATTAAGATAAGCTACAATCAAACTTCAATGTTGCTGTGCCTATTAGAATCTTTTAATTGCTTGCTTTAAATCCAATTTTACCTAAAATATCCCAACTGATTTTACCAAACCTAAATATATCAAACAAGTATAAATTTTTACCCTTTGTAAATGCTCAGTAAATCTGTTTTAGTAAATCAACTCTATTTGTAGGACTTAGTACCAACTGTTTTTTAATCCCTTTTAAATTGGACTCTTTCAATTCATTGGTTAAAGTACTATCAATGACTCCATATGAAATGACTAATATTGGTACTTGTATATCATTTTGTATATCACATAAATAATGTGATATTGGGATTATGAGAGTGGCTTGGAAATCGACTAAGAATATGGACTCGAGAAAATGTAACTGTATAAATGTTATTTAAGGCATAAAGAAAATGATGTATTTTTTGGTGAACTTAAGATTTAGATAAAAGTATACCAACATCAAACCTTTTGTTATATTCTGTAGATCTCCTCTTGTCATGGTTACATTGAAGGGGAAACAACCGTATCTAAGAATATTGATGGACCACAGTAATGTCAATATCTGTTTAGTCTTTGGAATTGAACTGATTCGAAGAAGCTCGACACGCAATACATTTATTTGATAATAACTTTGACGATGCTTCTCGAAAATTTTCGAAAGAAATTAGAATGAGACGAGGTACATTCGAATTGACTCCAGAAGATCGCGGAATTTTGGGAGATATGATTTTTGTCTGGGCGATTTTAATCTCTAAAAGCATGAATCTCAAAGCTCAAGTTTCTACTTTGATCCGACATCTTAATGACAGGAGGTCGTGACCTCTGTAGACCCGTTGAATCAGTTCTTGGGGAGGTGAATTTGAGATTGGATAGCCATTCAACCAAAATACATAAAATATATAGAATTTTATTAGTATTTTCAACGAGATATAATATTCCCGACACCATAACGACAGGCTGTTCAGAATGAGTTTCAGATTTTATTTTTCATTGCCTCTTGCTTGATGACGTGACAGAAAGTAGCCATTGGACTTGAAAACGGTCGACAACAATGGTCTGAATTGTAACTCGTCACAGTGGCGGCTCCAAAGACCAAGAATACATTTTGGTGAAATATTCATTATCCTGTTTTACCATCGAGAACATAGATGATCTTTAGGTTGGAGTAAGAAACGTATAACGGATATCTTGTCTGGTGAGATCGCCAGTATTGTCTGGTTGCCAGTATATAGAAGTTCTGTTGGTGACACACCAGTATCTACTAGCTACTAATCTTAGTATATATACTAAATATAAAAACTGGTGCACCACTCCCGATATCAGTATAAACAATAAATCAGTATGGATAATATCTGTATTTGAATTCCAACCAGGGTAGTTCTTGTCACTGCCAATATTATTGGGTAAGTTATATTCTTGGTATATAAAGTTACACAGTGCATAGAAACACATGACCAACATAGGGTATATCATATGATAGATACGAACAGGAGCTGCCACCAAACATAGATTTACAATAGTATATAGAGCTATTCCACCATAAGTCACCAATGAAAATATCGATACAGTTTCTCCTGCAAAAGACAATTATCAAGAAATTAATGGATTGGAGTTTTACATCCTATTACTCTTATTGAATATTATGTCGAACGCATCGTAAGTTTGACTAGATATATGCGCAAGAATTTCTTTATCGGATGTCATATGTTTGACGATTGCCTACCCGTATAGTGTGATTAAGTTTAAAAGTCCCGGATTCTTTCCAAAAACGCATTCACATTCATCTTTATGTAACCCAATTTTCATGCATACTCACTACGCACTACGCCACACATACCAGTTGGGTAATAACCCAAGATGAGCTAATATAATCCAGTATGATATATTAGACCCAAGATGACATGACATTTATTTTTAAATAATGTTTAATATTTTACCCTCGTGAAGCCTCTTTATTTTATTTTCTACACTATGATTTATCGGGCAATTTATCTATATTTATTCTTTATTTAATATTAGTAATCTTTCTTAAATTTCCCAATTAGCAGAGATTCCATCAACTCCAGGATACCAGGCGCAGATAACATCGCACTCGGTACCTTCAATTCTCTTCTCTATTAATTGGATTCCATCAGAAAAACGCTGTCTGGAAGTCTTTATGATGTAATAACAATAGTGGAATAAACAACGTTAAACCTCATAATGTTCCTGGAAGTTTATTTCTTCATTTTCTATTAAGCCATAAATTCATGTTATATTATAAATGGCCCGTAAAAATTGTCATAAAACATCCTTTCAAAGATAAAATAATTTACGAATGTTTATAGTGCTTTATAATGTTATATTATACCGTATGGGAAGTTGTATGTAATTTGTTTCAATTACCTGGATAACAATACTTTAATTAATTGATACAAGGTGCTTTTTTAATTACAGTATCAAAGGAGCTACATCATATAAGGCCGCATTTCAGACTTTATAGGGAGACACATATTCACTGTGTCAAGCTATTACTAACTTCGTCTTATACCTTGTCTACAAATGCCATTATTCTCGTAGCACTTAATGAAGCAATTTGATAAAATTGTACGCCAACGAAAACAGCCAACGACAGGCAGGCAGTAATCATTATGATTTATTCGTTCCAGACTTTTAAAGGACGAAGACTCAAATCGAACCGATTTGCTACATTTACAAACTTAGTGATACAAGAATAGTGGGTATTGCTGTCAAGGTATTAGACGAAGTTCGCAATAGCTTGACATTGTGAAAATGATGAATACAGTACATCAGTCTAAAAGTTATTCCCGAAAAGTTATTTAACTATATGATCCATCTGTAAAACTGTTTCTCTTTAAACTCTTTTTAAGGAATTGGGTGCTTTTACTTGTCCAGCTAAAATCTTGAACGTCGTGTTAATTTCTAACCTCTTATGTAAGCTTTTCATATAATTTTCTCTACCATTGGGATTAATCTTATCCATCGCAGACGAATAGATCGATTTCCTTATATATATATTTCACAAGAAGCCTTTAATTAGCTATTCACCAGATCATTATAACATGAAAGCATGCTTTATAGGTCACCATGAGTTATTGGCCTCGGCTTTTTCATTGCCAATTTGAAATGCCCAGAGAATAACATTTCTTAAAAGGCTAAGAACATTTGTAGAAAGATGCAGACTTGTCTTACGTGTAACGTGACGTGTAATATGTATTGGTCCCAAAACGACCCAATCCTTTTTAAGATACAAAGGCCATGGTTCGCCATTTTCGGAATTGTTAAGCTAATAAATAGTTCGCTCTGATCAGAGCTAATCATCGAAATTTAAATCCGTGGATCCATAATAATCCATCACCATAATGTAAGAGATATGGATATGGAGAGGGAGGGGCTATGCCTCCCCACCCCACTTGAGAGTTCATCATATATACCTACCTTGATAAATAAAGACCCAATGTATTATAGAAATTAAACAGGTGATATTGTTACTACATGTTGTTAGAAACCAGTTGACTTGTAAAAACCATGGCATCCTTCTATATTCTTCTGGAAATATAAAATAATCTTTAGAGTTAAATTGAAGGTAACGTTAGTCAGTCATGCCTGTGTCAATGACGAAAACAAAAATCACATAAAAAAAATAAATAATTGATGAAGGTTGTGCTCAAAGCGTGATAAGATGCAATGTTGTTTCGTGCAGGTCATGTAATATGCATTCATGCTGTCTCAAGTATTGCAGTACAAATTAGACCAACAGTAAATTCCAATTCATTTCACTCAAGGACTAGAGGTGATCTTTTTTTGTTGATGATTATGCTGCGATTCAATAAAAAAAAAAGAGGAGATTCGTGGGTAATGAGTGTGCCCGGTTCAAGGAATAGAATAACAGATTATATTATTTCAGATGATTAACATTTGAAGAATACTAATGGTTAGAACTATGTCCTTGGTTTCATTGTGTAAATTCCACAAAGGGAGTGTTTGAAATGTCAATATTTATTCTGTGTTTAATAAGTAGGGATACGTGATAAGTCACATAATTAACAGAACAGAGCCTTTATATAACAGGATTACACGTTATCAGTGGCGGTTTACAGTTACCCAGAGTTATGCCGATTCAGACCTTAGGAAAATAATGATGTGGGATTAGTTTTCCAATGTTTGGTCAAAACGGTTTTATAGACGACAAAAATGATTTTTCTTGAAGGCAAAACGAAAATTCAAACATTGATATACTAAAAGTGATGTAAAATTAGGTAAAATCACTTCATGTTTGCTGACGTCATTAATCCCATATCAGTTTATATTAAAAGAACAGAAGCCTACACCGGAAATGAAAACCGGCATGAATCTTTTTAAAACTTATAAGGAACACGTACTGCTGAATTCTATATTTTTTATATGGATAAATGAGTCAACGACAAAACCATAAATGACACTTGAATTAAGCATGGAGTTACACAGGTGCTTGCTGTTCCGACTAGACAATAAAGTGGGTTGATGTATTTTAGTAAATGCTCATGATAATTCCCTTTCCAGATTTGTAACTGAACATAACAAAATCACCAGTAATTGAGGGAAGGAAATGAAACGAACGACGTTTGCTAAGAAACGTGATCTGGATTGCGGCTAGACTAGAATCAGATATCAATCAGCAATGATTATAGAAATCATAGCAGACTAAGTTCTGGCTAGTTCTAAACAAGTAAAATATAAACTAAACTATCAGACGACTTAATCAGACAATTGGAAAGAATGAACAATAAGAAAGAGTCTAAAAATAACCCATTGTTAGACAAAGAAATAGAAGTTTTCTTTCAAATATTTATTATTATTATCTAAGACTTAAATTGATCGAACTGTTTTTAACCTTTAAAGGTATTGTTACGACCAATAATATGCTTTTACTTCGGGCTCATTTGTTTCCTGTTTTCAAATAGAGAAACACTTCTTTTATACATAAGTCTTCGAGTCTGTTAGATTTCATTACGTGACATCGGCGCTCTGTTAATCGTTGGTAGAATTACCCATTTTTCCCGCAACGAAGCTATTTGTGATCATTGTAAGTAGTCCTTTGGGAATTTCGTACAATTCGTCACTTAAGATAACAATCTCAACGAACCGAAACAATACATTTTTGTCTTATACATAAGTGTTCGAGACTGTTAGATTACATTACGTGGCTTCGGCGCACTGTTAATTGTTGGTAGAATTACCCAACTTTTTCCACAACGAAGCTATATGTGACCATTGTAAGCGGTCCTTTGGGAATTTCGTACAATTCGTCACTTAAGATAACAATTTCAACGAACCGAAATAATACATATTTTCCTTAGGAAGCTGACCCACTTTCTTACCATATTTTAATTATGCGAAGCAATGCCTTTACTTTAAGAAAGTGATCGATGGAGAAAGAAAAACTGTATTATTCATTTTACGTTATACTATAGCGATTAGTGAATAATTATTCGATTTCTTATTCAACTGCTATAGTGACTGTATCATATTACTGTGAATTATTTAGCTCTAGTCCAAAGACTATTATAACAAAGTAAAGAATAAATGGAATATTTCTGACATTTCTAGTAATAAAGAAAGAGTTAGTTTATTATATAACATATTATATAATAATTACTAATATTCCGAGTTGGAAACACCTCCATTACGACTTTCTTTCGTTCTGATCGAATTATACTTTTATTACAATAGTGCTGCCAGTTACAGTTAAAGCAAGCGGTCAAGCCAATGCTTAAATTTGGCTGCTTCTGTGGGTTGTTGTTTAATATATTGCCAGGTTTTACGGTGATATTTTAAAGGTCTGTGTGAAAAATTGCCCCTAGATCAGGCCGTTCTAAAGTATGAGAGTAAAAACAAATATTCGTGCCCATTTAGCCAAGCGAAATGAAACTATCTCTACCATCAGCCGATCTGGAAGCAGCGGCACTCAAGTTGTTTGGAGACCCTTGTCTAAGTACGTTCTATACTGGCAGATTTTAAAATTGTAGTCGAGGTACAATATTTTCTACACACGATATATAGATACAAAAACAATCTACGAAGACGTAATTGCAGAACATTAGATGAATTTTTACTCACACCGAACATCAATCAGCAAAACACGGAAAAAGTACATAGAATTGTCCACCTACAGCTGTCCTATTTGTAGTTTATCAGCACTACATTTCGACTATACATAAACATTATTTACAAAACCCGAGATGTAAATTGGCAAACAAATTGAATCTGAAGGCTATATATCTTGTGTTAATTCTGTTTAATCGTCAAATAAACCGATCCAATCTTATCAATCTTTCATTTCGATACCCGTGAGCTATGAATCAAGAATATTCGACTGTGTTATATAACACAAAGGCTTATAACAGTCATTCTGTATGGACATATCACGATATAGTAAATTGAAATCTTTCAAAGCCTACAGCTTACATTGAAATCTAGATCAGTTTTAATCAAAATGTGTCTCGTCTGAAAACATACCAGATAGCTGGCCAGGCAATCTGTGTTTGGTATACCGGAAGTAGAATTATTTCTACCATAATTTACAGCTTAAATTGAAATCTAGAACATTTTTAATCAAAATTTGCCTTGTGGTCTAAAAACATGCTTGAGGCAAATATGAAGAAAATCTGTCATGATTGTTTCTAACAAAACCGGAAGTAGAAATGTTAGACCATTGAAATGTAGATCAGATAGTCTAAAAACATTTGAAATAGCTGGCCAGGCAATTACAAAGAAAATCATTCTTATTTGTCTGTTACCATTAGTAGAAGTATTTATGAGTACTAGGCTTATGCTAACGTCTCGTATAAATTCTTAATCAAAAATCTAATTCCTTTCCATTCATGTTCATATCTTAAATTTTGAAAAACAAACCGGAAGTAGAATTTATACGTATTACCTACAATATTCTGAATAAATCTCATCACAGTTTATTTCGAGATATGGAAACTCAATGGAGATGTATCTAACCAATTTTGGAACCCCTCTCAAATTGGGTAACTTCCAACAGTTCTTCTTCTTCACCTGTCGTGACCAACCCTAAAGATCAAACCTCCTTAGAAGGTCGTGTGCGCTCTACAAATTCATATAATTTGACTCCTTGAAAAATCCGACTGCGCTCCGTCGAAAGATAGGCCAGTATGCGGTGGACTTTAACAAAGCAAACAAACCTACCTTTAACAATATCAGGTTTATAAAGATATATATGTATAACACAGATGACATCTACAGTGGTCGTTACAGCTAATAAATAAGATGTCCAATGTGTTAGATAGGTAAACCATTGATAATGTTTGTATTTACTATGACTCCAATAGTCGCTTATAGTACCATTCAATATCAACATAAATAGAAATACTATAGCCCATACAGATCTCCATACTAAATACTTGAATACTGATAATATACACTGAAATTAATTCAAAATATTGCTATTATACCTACGAAATACTTGATTAGATACTAAAAGGCAAATCCAAACAGAATGGTACATGAACTATAAGTAAAATAATCGTAGCTCAGAGACGGATTAACCTAAAGGCAAACTAAGCAACTGCCTTGCGGTCCATGGAAAATTCGGCCTACTACAAATTATCAAACAGATAATAAATTTCCGCAGGCCCATCAAAAATTGTCATACTAGGAGCGTGATGTGTGAGAATCGACTAAATTGTTTGAGCCTAATGGTGACGAATGCCGATATCGTGAATAAGATTGATGCTAATGAGCTGACTGACAAAAAAATCGCAAACTTCCTGCCATAAAATTATAAACACCATGCCCCCCCCCCCCATAAATGAGAAATTAGGCCCTCTCCCGTTCGTTTGCCTATGGCCCAACAAGTCCAAAATCCGTCGTAGCTGGATTGTGTTTAAGGTATATGTAGTAGTTTAAAAACGGACGGTTGTAAAGTTAAATGGATTAGGAGGAGAAGAATGCTGAATTCTCCTTTTAAGCTAAGGGAACCTTTTCCAGAAGACATTCAAAACTTTTCAACTTCCGCGAACGAAAAAATTGGTGTTAACAGTAGGTTTCTTCGTAAAGCTTGAAATACCAAAGTTGCCACAAATAAAATTACAAGAGAGCTTACCTGAAATTTTGTAAAATCTTCAGGATAAAGATATCCGAATAAAAAACTTCTTGGATGAAGTTCATCTTTCAAAAAACTTTTCCAGTTGCAAATCTGTGTGGTCTTTGGTTTGTACATGTTGGTAATCACTGTAATAGTGGGTCCGTTTGATTGAAGATTCACTGTTGAAGACATGGTTACAATCGTTGATAATTTAAAATACTGTTTACGAGAGCAGTCTGTCAATTCGTATCACTGAATGCTTAATTTGGCTTAAACGTCACAGATTGGAAATTATCTATTTTGTATAACGATCACATTTATGTAACATCACTTAGTAAGTCTAGAAGTTTAAATTTGATTGTTAAAGATACGGTAGAATCAATAATTGATGTTATTAACTCCAAGAAAATAAAAAAGTCTTTCAAGATAAAAGTCACACATACAATGTTGAAAGGACGAGTTCAAAGTCTACATTAAAATTTAGAATTTCCCTGTCTGTTTATTAAACTATACGCGTTTATCATTATCACTAGATTGGCAGCTTACATCAATACATCTTATTCTCTCTTCCGGTCTGGGAATCCTTCTCGTCTAACTGAAATATGTAAAATGTCTCTCCACTGATTGAATCGTTTCTTATATCCGTCAAGTCCTGTTTCGTTTCTGACACTTCCCTTGTATTTATGGCTTATATTTTATGACTCTATCCACTGAAAGGGTTCAGTGTGGTTAATTGTTCTTTCGTGTAGTAATCTGTAATCAATTATACTAAAGTTGGTGTCTCCATAGAATCTTATAGTACGTTCAATAATTCTACTAAACACTTCGAAATCAGACGTAGGTATGGTAAGCTCAAATACTCGACCAACCGATCGTGGGCACTGGAAGTTGTTCCATACTCCTTTCTATATCAACCAGCCTTTTCTAGAATATTTTAATATCTTGAATGATTCAGACAAAAACAATAGAGATATAGCTAAAATGATATCCTAGATATAGACACAGACTTCAATCATCTTCTTAAATAATAGCATGTTTCGTGTGGAGGAATTCATGTTGCTCTAGCGTTACATTCAGCTTATTAATATTTATACCATTCTTGTATTCTATACTTCTTCCACTCTATTTCTTCAACCTGAAAACGAAAGTAAGAGATATTATGTGAAATAATATCAGCTATATTGTAAATATATTGAAGATGTATTTAACCAAGGGAGTCATATACACTGCCTTTTCTATGGTTGTATATTTTTAATTTAAAGTAATGCTTGAATATATTGATGTAGACTAGCTTTATGTCGGTATAAATGTAGGTATTAAAACACATAGATATTGACAAATCCCAGACGAAGTTTCATAAACACTGCAGGTATAAATTGCTACGTCCATTGGTTACTGCCAAACAGCAACAATATTATGCTGCGCATTTTCACAATATCAAGCAATTACGAACTACATTAAATACCTGAACTGCACTAGCCACCACGTTTCTGATATCACAGATTTGACGCGATTTGGTTGGTTGTGTGATAGCGTATACGTGTCCTCGACAGAAGTCTGTAAAATGTACACAATAGGCCATTTTAGTTTATAGACGTTCAGTTGAGGGCTCTGATTGGCAGTATTAACTGGCGTACAATCCAATCAAATAGCTGCATTCTGTGATATAAGAAACGCGGATCTTAGTCAATCAATCCTGATGAATGCTATCTGAAAATCGTGGTTCTATGTCTAAATGAGTGTATATGTTGATATAAACAAATCTCAATTCATCCACCAGCCATTAGGTACAAATTGCTTAAGCCAGTGGTTAATGAACAAACACAGCGAATCTAATCAATCAGTGTGACTCTTAGAAGGCAATGTATTTGTTCTCTATAGATCTATGTGTTTCATTAAGAGAAAATCTTGTATACACATTTGTTACCAACGTGGTACATGACCTTAGGTGGGAATACATCAGGTACAATGTCCGTTGCAGGATTACCAATACAGTTGGAAAAAGACGAAGCGAATACAAGTGGTATGGGTCAAGACATGATGCGCACATGATTGGTGTCTTCTGTTTTCTATTGTAAGAACAATTCAACACAACACCCAGACAACGTACCTCGTCTATTCCTGCATTAAGACCAGTACTTCAAAAATCATATCCAATATAATAAATCCGTATAAAATCAGAAATTCGTTAAAAAAGAATGCCAGAAAACTATGCCTCATCATCGACCACAGATACACTGATACCGATCGTAATTTCTACAATTAGGAAAATCCTATTGTGTATCATTCTTATTATGTCTTACTCTTTACATTATACTCCCATCTGAGTTATGTATCAGATTATGAACACGAAGAACACCAACGCCTCTAATCGGAATCATTACAGATCTGTTACAACTATGGTATTGAAATATCCACAAAATGTACACGCATCTATTAGGCAATAATATAGAGTCTCACACCTTGTGATATTTACAAGTACCCGTGAATATTGTAACAGTTATCTGCCAAATAAATAACATAATACCATGGATTAGTGTGTCAAATCCACATTCCTTAAAGGGGTGGGAGGGGGGGGGGGGGTCTACATGATTAATATTTATTTGGCCAACTTTTATAACAGTAACCGATGCAAAGATCAAATGTAGCGGCTGCAGTCTTTACAGAACAAGTTAGTATAGATGACTTATATAATTAAATATTACTGCATTAACTACCGGCTCTGACACTCTAATCCTCCGATATGTCAATTCGTCATACCTTTCTAAATAGTTTTTCTTTATATTTCTGAAATTGGTCTACAATGTTCAGACCACGAAATCATTCGTAAAATTTAATCTTGAATCTTTTCAGATCGAGGAATCAAACATTATTAACAATGGCAGATGCTAATACAAAGCAGCACTCCCAGATAGCATATCAGCATCCTTTGGGAGAGTCCACATGGCTGATTATTTTATCTTTATTACTCATGAGAGATGAAAATCTGTTCAGTATCAAACCTGATTATTTGATCCTGTAGAGACTTTACTATTAATGAAAACAAACAAGCAGATTAACAAATATTATAGTGTGGTTTATCCCGATTCCACCACGCGAGAGTCTATTCCAATGAATCTATACAACATAGCCTAGGTAAATTATGTTTTGATTCATATTTGATCATATGGTAAATTAAAAGAGAAAGTCCATTACACGGGTGGATGATATCATTTTTATTTCACAAGAGACTGAATTAAACCACATAAAAAACACAATTTAGACGACAAATTTCCGGCATGAATTAATATACAAAACATTTCAAACCAGGCATGGATTTCCTTCATTGTTTTTAAACTCTAGAGACAGTTTCAGTCTTATCATGGAAATTTCTTTCGTAGCATCAGTTTATTGCCATTAAAATTCACTTAAACAGAAAAACGAAGAACGTATGAGTTGGGGATACACATTTAAATTGTTTAAAATCGAAAATATAACAGTAATGCATTCGGCATAGAATTATTCTCATATACGGTTATTAAGATGCTTGTCGTTTGTAAAGTGCTAGATTGTCTTTTTAAGAGCTTGATATGGATTTGCAAGGGAGTATATTGCAGTATGTGCTTGTAAGGTGCCAGATAGTCGTTTGTAAAGTTCAAGATTGCAGTTTGTAACGTTCTAGATAGTCGTTTGTAAAGTTCTAGATTGTGGTTTGTAACGTTCTAGATTGTCGTTTGTAAAGTTCTAGTTTGCAGTTTGTAAAGTTCTAGATTGACTTTTGTAAAGTTCTAGTTTGCAGTTTGTAACGTTCTAGATAGTCGTTTGTAAAGTTCTAGATTGACTTTTGTAAAATTCTAGATTGTAGTTTGTAAAGTTCTAGATTGACTTTTGTAAAGTTCTAGATTGCAGTTTGTAAAGTTCTAGATTGTAGTTTGTAAAGTTCTAGATTGACTTTTGTAAAGTTCGAGATTGCAGTTTGTAAAGTTCTAGATTGACTTTTGTAAAGTTCTAGATTGTAGTTTGTAAAGTTCTAGATAGTCGTTTGTAAAGTTCTAGATTGGCTTTTGTAAAGTTCTAGTTTGCAGTTTGTAACGTTCTAGATAGTCGTTTGTAAAGTTCTTAATAGACGTTTGTAAAGTTCTAGATTGTGGTTTGTAAAGTTCTTGATAGTCGTTTGTAAAGTTCTAGATTGATGTTTGTAAAGTTCTAGTTTGCAGTTTGTAAAGTTCTAGTTTGCAGTTTGTAAAGTTCTAGTTTGAAGTTTGTCATGTGTTAAAGGATCTTTGTAAGTTGCTAAAGTATGGTTTATAAAGTGGCTTGATTGTGTTTGTAAGGTGCTAGATAACGAAACAGTATTGTTTGCAGGGCTATCAGCTACTTTTGGTTGAAGCTACATTCTCCGTGACTCATTCAAGTGATTGTAATGCAAGATGTCCATCTCACACTCGAACAAAATACTCACTCAGATTGTAGAACGACTGAGACACCAGGGAGCAATAAGATGTCGTCAAGAAACATTGACTCTAATTTCCAGGTCCTCGAGTGTTTATTCTAGAGTAGGAATCGAAGAGAAAGCCAATACCTTAGAGATGTCACTGCTTCCTCTCATTTCCGATCTGCTCTTAAAATGTCAGTCATAGTCGTCAGGGTTATATAGTTAAAGAAAAAGGTTCGTCATCCGTTTGGCAATCGTTTCTTAGTCACAGCTCACCGTCAAAATTTGAACCTTCAAATCCATGTGTGTCCAGAATAATCCCCCTTTCAAAGTTAAAAAGACGACTTGTCTTTTTTTGGTACTTTAATTGTACTTGTGACGGAATTGTGCGGTTTTTGTACATTTCTAGTACTTCAAAAGACTATTTACATATATTCAAGACGCAAATCAACCCCGAAAATCACGAATTAATCTTTTAACTATTAACTACTAAATAATTAATAACCACATTATAGGAAGATCAGCATATTATATGACCAGCCGTTCCAGATAGATGAGTTTCAAGAATCAAGCGAACAAAATTCAAATGATAACGAATTCACTAGCCTTACCATATCGTGACATTCAAAAATAAATCACCAATATTGTGCAATTTTACTTAATGAAACTAGATGAACAACGTAATAATTTGAGATTTGGTGACGTCATAAATCCGGGTTATTGGATCTGTAAATGACAGAAGCTATTGACGGGATGCGATGACGTCATAAATCATGTT